GCAACTTCATCTCCGTTTTAATTGAATTATTTTATTCAGTCGGTGAAGGATTGAAAAATATAAGAGGGATAGGAGGATACGTACAACAGGATTTAGTTATACTCGTAAATATGCTAAACTTTCCTTCGTATAATTGCGAGAGTAAAAATTTACAGAGACTCTTCTCGTTTCTCCATTCTCAAGCAACAGCTCGCTCCTTGCTTCGAAACGATATACTACTTTTAATTATGTTCACGAGGACGTTTTAGTTATAAGCACGTACCACCAATCTCTCTTCTTTTTTTTCTTTTTTTTCTTTTTTTTCTTTTTTTTCATTTTATTTATCTCAGTCATTTTCTTTCAGACAAAATACAAACCCGTAAGGTTAATTAAGTATTCGAGCTTGGTACATGCGATAGTACGAAAAAAGGCTACGTAACTTACTACTTTCGATAGGTAAAACGCAAAGAAAGTATCTGAGTAAAGGGATAATAATAATACGTCGTCGCGTGTTTTGATAAAAACACGAATAAGGAGAGTATGTGGCTGACTATATTTATTTTCTTATCGCGATTAAAATAGTGATTTTAAATTTTTAAATATCCCCGTGCTAATATATTAAAGTAAGTATGAAAATACTTACAATTAGTTACATCTTAATCGTGATACAAATGGTATGCAAAGTATATCAATTGAAAATTACTTTTTTTTGTTGTTGTTGTCAACTTCCTATATTGGTCAAATGAAATGGAATATGAATAAAAATATAAAAGCACAATGAAATGATTGTCGAATAATCGTTATGAGTTTTTTTCTAGAAGATTGTATTCTTGTCGGTGAACAGTTCGTCGTTAACTTAATAGCCATCGTGGCCTATGATTACAAGCGGTTTTAAAAGAAAGAAGGAAGGAAGGAAGAAGAAAAAGGAGTGGAGTAAAAAATACTTGAAGGAGTAGGGCCTCTACTCCGTGTCCTTGCACGTAGCTGACAAGGATATGATGAATATCGAACCGTGTAAGAAAGCTTAATTGCGGTAGGTAAAGACCAAGCGTTAGTTACCCATTTTCAACTACCACTACTACTACTACTACTACTACTACTACTACTACTACTAGTTTCGGCTCGCTCGACGAACTTTATCACCGTGACTTTATCTCTACCCCGATGATTTACTTTAATAGTCATTTACCCGAGATAATTCGAATAGATTAATCAGCCATTTTCTTCTCGCACCTTTGAATCATTGATTCCACTGAAAAATTTCTTATTTTCCTCCTTCCATTTGACAACATATATTTGAGCAATTTCCTTTTTTGTATTTATCAAAATCTCATATAAATCCGCATGTCCAAATTTTCAAATATCTTTCTATAGAATAAATATTGAATCTTCTAATAAATATTGAATTAACTGAGTTGCATATTGGCAAACAATCAAGTAGACGCAGCAAACAGCAAATGTCTCATATCCGTCGAATGCAACATCGATATGCGTAAAGACATAAAAAACGCAAAGTTCATATGTCATGTCCATGCTATGAAAGCCGTTCCATGTTTGACTTTCGATTCGGTGAATGGTTTCACCGATGCAACCTACGACACAACCAACGACACAACCAACGATCAGAGTTATGCGAATATTTAACGTACAACGACGATGGCTTTGACCCATCCTCGGCTCACGGACCACATTATACTTTTGCGTTGAAATCGTAGACTTCGTTTTGTTCCGTCGAGTGTAAGTTTCAGCATATTTGAAACTATCGGATCGACTGTCAAACCAAAGTATGTAATGTAGTCGAGAAATATAGTAAGAGATGGTGCGATTCACCGACTCTTCTAAAGAGAGATCAGTAGAAACGACGAGTAACTTTATGTGGAATAGCTTAAGAATTTTCCGAAGCATTCTCAACTCGGATGAATGAATTATGGACTAGAGTCTGGAAGCATTTTGGTATCCCTTTTCGGTTTCGTACAAATACCCTTATCGATCTTTCATCATCCCACGTAAAGAAATTCCAAGGAATTTGTCTGTGCCATTGTTACGTTGAAAACATTATCAAAAGAACATGTGTTCTATTTTTATCCTTATAATAAGTTAATCCCATAAGAGATATCCAACAAATCTCTCAAGAACAAATGTTCATTATCGTCATAAATTACACTTACTAGAAAGCCCAGCGGTCTACTATGGGTGTGCAACCAAGCGTCAATGCAATAATTATCGAGATAGAATTAATGGACTATATGCGCATACGCAAAGTGTCAAATGAAAATGCAGAAATCTGACACGAATCCACAAGCAATATGTTTCACCAAACAATTCTTTACATGCATGAAAAGTTCGTGTATGTCGAAAAATAGTCTAAAATAAAAGATATTTAAGGTTAATATAATAGTGAAAGATCGTTTAATCACTGTCAAAAGTTGCATTTCTCTTGTAGCTTATATTCGTCTATTGGATGGTATGTTGTATCGTATCGCATCGTATCGCATCGTATCGCACCGTATCGCACCGTATCGCATCGTATAGAATGCGAGCTGTAAGTCTTGTAAGGAGCTTTAATACTGCGGCCATCCCAGCTGTAATGTACATAATTAATCTCCCGTGCTTGGTTTGAGCAACGACGTGGGAATAGTATCGCAGTTAGGGAACTATCTTCCAGCTAGCACGTATATACATATGCATATATATATCTATATATAGATGTAGAGAGAGAGTAGAAACGTCGTAACACGTTATAGGCATCGGACCACGGATCCTAATGAGCAATTAGACCGAGCACGACCGATAATATTGATACAACGACAAACGTTGGATCTTGGAACGTGGCCAACTGTGCTTGGGCAAACCTACCACCCTATCCAAACTCTCAACCCTATCTCTCTGTACAATAATATGTGGAGAGAAAACTATCGAAAACAACTAAATTTACTAGTTTTCTTTGAACTTATCGGGATGTTAAATAAAAAAAAAACAGATCAAATGTCCGAGTGGTTAAAAGGACTATTATGTTATCTGAATTGTATAATTAACTCATGTTCGACCTTCCGTCGAGTTCAGTTTTCTTTTTCCTTGACTTCTTTAACGATTTCGTTGACAGCTCGACGTATGAATAATTTAGAATTATTACTATTATTATTATTGTTATTCGCTTTGCTTTACTTTCTCTCTCCGTAATTGCCAAGTCTAACTGGAGATATGAAGGAGTCCGTCGCACGTCTTAAGTTTGCCGTTGCATGAGTTACGAGTCGCATGAACGAAACCGCGGAAACTTGGCTCGTAACGCGTTCATAGTTGGCGAATGGAAACGAATTAATAACCGCCAAACGATTTCGCTCACGTTGTCTCATTTCTCTTAATCGTGGAAATCTATTTATCGTTATATGGATGCTGCGTCAGCCGTGAGAATGAAATCTGTTCTTGCCAAATAAGATCTTTATTCTCGAATTAGTCACGAACTTGTCCGGAACACTTGAAAATACTCCTTAGAAAATACTCCAAAAGGATATAGAAGTATATATATTCAAAAATATTGATAATAAAGATCCTTTGAATATAATAATAAATAGGAAAGCGCGAACGTTATTTTACTTAATAAGGATTTATCAAAGTGTAAATAGGATGGAAGTAGCTCTATTTCGAAAGTAATCGAAGCGTAAAAGCAGTCTAATAAATCTCTAAGGACGTCGTATAATGGTGAAACCTTCAACACGTTGAATCCAACCAGTGCAAAAATCGCGTGCAAAAATTCTTTGGATAATCGCGTGTTCGTCATGCAACGTCCATACAACTCTTCCACGAACCGTCCAACTTTGTAGAAACTTCCCTCCGATATTTTGGAAATTTGCCACACTTGTAGTAGTCCATGAGAAGATTCATTGTGCCTTTAAACTTGCTACAAATACGCCAATTGAAATTTCATATAGATGTGTTTTCTTTTAACTGTTGCAGTGTACCTATATCTTTTCTATTATTGAAATAGTATTAAATTTGTTTACCTTTTCAAAGAACTCATGTCTTCTTTGTAGAAATTCCCTGTTAATTATTATGCGAATATAATGCAGCTGCTGTGTCAAAAAATAATCAAAATCATGAATTGTAAAAAGTATAAGTAATTGTCAAAATGTAATATATACTGATATTTGGAAAAAACGAATATTACATCACTCTTAAGAAATATTTCTTCATAACATTAATATAATGATTTTTTCAACAGAGACAACGATAAGAAGAATCCAACAATGAAAGATTTTTAAAAACACTACCCTTATTTATAATTATACTAAGAAAAAACCATATGCAGTAATATTTTATCAATAGAAATGCAGAAGTAATGCATCCATCCTTCTTATCACAAGTTGAGTAAACAAATGGCAAACACATTATATTGGGAAATTGCCGCTAGATGGCGATTAATATATTTGTTTAGTCGGTAAGATAAAGTATTAGTTATTACCGCTAGATGGCGGAACATATTTTACCTGTCGGTAATAAAATACAAATCTCCCAATATATTTTTGTTAAATAATTAAAAATGAATGCAACGTAAATCATTTTTTATATGATAAAAATAAATGTATCTTACCAGTGTTATAATTTTTGCTTCTTCCTCAAACAACATTATTATTTTTACCTCTAAATATATTATTGTCTAGATTATTTTTTGTCACTGTAGCTGCATTTTATTCTCATAATAATTCACAGAGAATTTCTACAAAGGAGACATGAGTTCATACAAATATATTAATTTTTCTAGTCTCAGTCGATTTCCAATAAGATGTACAATAATAAATTTATTACATGGTGAGAACTGCACATTAGAATGTATTTGCCATTTGTTTTCTCAATTTGGAAAAAACAAGGATGCATTCCTACTAATACTACTGCATATGGTTTTTTCCCAGTTTAAGTATACTAAGGGTAATGTAATTTTCAAAGTGTGCCGCCAATTATTATACTTATGATTATGGCGCTGTAGTCTCGCGGAGAATAAGATAACAAATTTACTCTGACCTTTCTTTCCAATTTAGTCTTTCGGCAATATTTGAACAATAGTTTTGTGAGGTTATAATAAAGAAGAAATCTCTAAAGTGTCCATATTTAATCATAAAAATTAAAAGACATTCAATTAGATCTTCGTGATGGCATCTGACGGCCAAAAAGTATTCAAGCAAAAATAATTATGCAGACTGTCCTAAAAGTCGCTCTGCTGTGGAAAAAACAAAACAAAACATTGAACTTAGAAGTACAATGTTAGTTGAAAAAGTCTAGGACACTCCAAATACCTGCTAAAAATTAATTTCTTTTTTTTTTCAGTCCGGTTAAGTTACTTTTGGGACAATCTATGCATATTTATTTAAAAATGAAATTCACATATAATAATATAGAATCATAAATGTAACTCTGTAACAACTTAAAAAGTGTTTTCAATGCTTTATAACATATTACAATGTAAAATGTATTATTTGAAGATGACGGCACCAGTAAGCACAGCGATGGACAGATTAAGCGCTGCATTAAATTCAAATATAATACCAAACCAAGAGTACCTACTCCAAGGCTCAATAGTGGATACTGCTGTTGAAGTGTTGCTTCATAGATTAAGAGGATTATGTGACAACGTCGATAGTGGACCTGAAGCATTCCACGACCATGAAATGTGTTTTAGTATTAGAAGGTAGGTCATAAAATTCATAAAAAGAAATGTACGTTTATGTATAAATATTTTGTTTTGCAGAGGACCTGCTCCGGAACAGCCATTATTGTTACGAGTTAGAAGAGCTTTGGATTACCAAGATATGCCTTGGCAATTAAGGTACATAGGTCAACCTGAATTGGGTGACAAATCACGTCCTACAATTGTTCGTAGCAGTATAGATATTGCTACAAGCAATACAGTCGTTGAATTTTTAACCGAGTTAGGTTGTAGACTGGATTTTGAATACGTTGCTCGAGGTTATATGTTTCGCAAAGGTAGATTGAAAGTTACGGTATCAAAGATCTTTAAAATGGGTCAACAAGGAAAACTACCTGACAGCGTTGAAACTATATCCCAAAGTTATTTGGTAGAATTAAGCGTTCTTGCACCAAGCGGTCAAGATGCAATAGCAGAAGATATGAGAATATTTGCAGAGCAACTCAAACCTTTGGTTCAACTAGAAAAAATTGATTACAAAAGACTCGTTCATTAATACATGCTTCTATATGACATAAGGAAAATATGAATAGTGTCATATTTTTATTCTATCAAAGTAAGTTTATATTTATAATTATTATAAATATATCATTATTGTTATATTGATATCTTTCGAACGTTACATTATACTAGGATTTAACTAGTGTGATTCCCGTATAGGAAGAAGCGGCGCTAATGTACCACGTTGGTACCCGGTATACGACATTGGTATGCGACATAGTATGCGATTGTGGTGCCATTCTGTCGACTAGTCTATGGTGTAATCGCTACAGATAAAGAGTTATTCTTACCAAACACCTCTTGGCGTATCTTTTTATAACTTCATTCTACTATATATGTGGTTAACCTAATTTAACCGGTATATATTTTCTTTTTTTATAATATTTTTTAAACTATAGTGGTAAAACTAGTATGCTAGTAACTTAATTATTTTTAAAACGCCCCCTATCTTGGCGTCCTTCTGTGAAAATGTTTCTATTACATATTTCAATTAATTAATTGTGCAATAAATATTAAATAATAATAAATTTCCTTATAGTTTTTAATTTTTCTTAAAATCAAAAATACTACGTATATATATACGTATATATATATGTACATATGTGTGCATAAGGCTCGTTGCCATTTTGATCATTATCGAAAAAGATCCACCAAACGTACCCCAGAGACCTCTTTTAATGCAAGTACTTCCGGTTTTTCGTGCTCAAGGAGGCTTGTGGAATAATATTGCGGTTGGTCTGACTATACGGGCGGCTACGAAGTAAGTAAAAATAAAATTTTACAGAAGAAAATAACGTAAAGTATAACATGATAATAAAGTTTAATGGAAGTGATTGGATGACAGAAGTATAGTTTGACGTACTAAAATCAGAGTAGTCAGGAAGGAACGTTGGCGTCAGTTCACTTCGTTATAATTCTTTTTAACGTTTTAGTGCAAAAATTATAGTTATTATTGTACGCATTAATATGTACAAGTGTTTTATTTTGATATTTTTCAAAATTGAGTGAATTTTGAAGATATACTCTTATATAGCAAATATAATTCGATTTCTATTGAATTGTTAATTATAAAGTAGCCATGTTGCAGCAACGGCTTCTTCGTATATTAATATAACATGGCGACATTCCGATTACTTTTTACGATATTTATTCATTGTTGCGATATTTGGAAAATCCATTAAGTGTTATATGGTAACGAACAACTTGATATGATGAAAATGATTATTAACATTATCGTATAGAATATATTTATATAGTGAGTGCTTGATAGTTTAATCATAACCGGTCGATATATTTTTTTAACAACTAAGTAGTAACTAACTTACGAAACGAACGCATACGTGATTAGTCAAATTTTCTGTCACAGTTAACTCGTGACACGCGTACAATTTCTTTTATAATTTATTATTATATATTTCTACCTGAATGCAGAAATCTGTATTCTCTCCTTTAAATTATTTTCCTTGAATTTTTAATTTATGAAAATCAATTTTCACTTCTTTATGTTATTTTTTTTTTATTTTTAATTTATGAAAATCAATTTTCACTTCTTTATGTTATTTTTTTTTTTTTTTTTAACCCTTTTTACTATTTACATTATTTTACTTTGAATGAATCTTTTTTGTTTTGTCATATCCACTATCTGTCCTTTGTGTCATATGTGTATTTACTATTATTTTCCTAATATTAATTAATTTTTAATTTGATTTGATTTGATTAGCCTATCATCAGCAATGTCACGTTACCGAGAATGGGAAATCTCTTGTAAAGTATACATCGGCAATTTGGGTAGTAGTGCTAGTAAACACGAAATCGAAAGTGCATTCAACAAATATGGTCCATTGAGAAATGTATGGGTTGCGAGGAATCCACCAGGCTTTGCTTTTGTCGAGTTTGAGGATCCAAGGGACGCAGAGGATGCTGTTAGAGGATTGGATGGAACGTCAGTATTTTGATGGATATTTCATTAAACCCTTTGAGTGCTATGAATGTGTATATGCATCCAGGAGAAGCAATCTATGTGGACTAAGAATATCTATATGCATTATTTTGTTATATTTTTTGATAACTTGTTAGTTGTGCCTTGTGTATTCAATCAACATAGTCTACATTAAACATTACATTACATTACGTTTTGTCTCCAACGATTGCAACTTACTAAGAGTATTGCACTATATAAGCACTGAAGGATTTATTTTTGTAATTATAACAAAGACATTGAATCACAATGTGATATTTTACTTTTAGACGGTGCTGCGGTACAAAAATAAAGGTAGAGATGTCTACCGGGAGAAGGAGACATACCGGTGGTGGTCGCAGGCCAGGTCCACGATACTCCAGGTAAGAGATCTTTAGGTGTTATATATCTGCATTTTACAGCCACTTTAAAGCTGCAGCAGATGGCTATGTATCTCACCAAGTAGGTATTATGGTGAACTGTCTAAGTAACGGGATCGATAAAAAGGTCTACGGGTTTAAAAATGACCTTTCCTTATGCACAGCCAACGAACCAATAACTTGTGTTTCTTTTCTTTTTATTTTTCTTTTTATTTTTATTTATTTTTTTTTTTATATATTTATATATATATATATATATATATGTATATCGTGTCTCAATATAGGAATGCAAGATAGAACAAGTATATTCATATTACATTCGTTCAATATCACTGCTCTTCTGGCTAGTGCCTTCATTTTAAATATACTGGTATTATTTAATTTGAAATATTTAGCAATGTAAATGAAAAGTTTCAATAACTGTTTTTTTTTTTTTTTTTTTTTTTTTTTTTTTTTTTTTTTTTTTTATTACATTCTATTGCATTTCCATTACATAATAGTGTAAAGGGAACAAGAAGAAAGAAAGAAACTTTGACGTTAGCTGAAGAGCACAATCGTTGCATGAATATCTCCAGATAAGGGAGATGCTCCAGGAAATAATAGTCACGAGGTGTAGTGTTTTATGAAGTATTGCTTAGAGCCCACATTTCTCCTATTTTATTGTCCTTGTGAATATGCTTAGTGAACAGGACTTACGTACCATATATCTTTTTGACAAATTTATAGGTCCAGATCTCGCAGTCCTCGTAGGAAATCTCTGGGTCGTTATCCAAGGTAAGATTTTTTTAGCCTCATTGCTCACAGTTTTCAGGTGCAAGTAGTGAAAGAGAAAAAAAGTGATACAAGGTGATCGTCTACACTATCAACGGAAGATACATACAATAGTTTTTTTAATTTTTTTTAGGTCTTTATCAAGAAGTCCAAGAAGATCACCGATTAACAAATATTCCAGGTAATCGTCATTTTATACAATTTATAAAGTTTTTAGAGCCCCAGCTAGGAGAGACGGAACAATATGAATTTGCAAGTACGTATTTGCAAGTATCGCTTGTATCGTGATAATTGCTATTGTGCACGCAGTATCACAACAGATCATATCTGACGTATAGTATTATGTACGACACCATTTTGCAAAGTTCTGGTATTGCACAATCGTCTGTCTATATGGACGTTTGTGTAATACCTTTTGATCAGCACGAATTGGAGAGGGCAGGACTAAAGTACTCTACTGTAGAGGAACAATGAAGAGGTAGTTTGGAACAAATGAAAAAAGAAAATTCTGATGAAGATCAAGAATTATTAAAATTGGAGACTGCTCTTCGAACTTTGCCCGTTATAAGAAGAAGCAGGACCGGTGAACTAAAAGTAAATCAGCGGTGTCTGGTGTTAATTTTTTTGATACAAAGTAACAAAATTTCAATTTTATTATAATTATTATTATTCTTATTATTATTATTCTTATTATTATTATTATTATCGTACTCTACAATCTGGTTTGTCATTGTACAATTTTTAATAGTTTTTTCGATATCCGAAGTCTGAACGGTAAATTGATCTTTTCTTTGACTACTATACTTTTTCTGTTCTCATTGAAATAAATTTCAATAATTGACCAAAGACTTCTGATTACGAATTAGATCATCATTTTAAGAAGTTGAAACACTATAATACTTCATTTCGTCTAATCGTATACACTCTTATGCAGTTACTTGGAAAAAAAAAACAAACAAACAAACCTATATATAAAATACTTTCTAATATATATATATATAAATATATAATTAAATACATTTAATTACTTAGCTATCTTGCATTTTTCATTTCAATAAAATTACAGAAAGAAAAGAAAGAAACTAAAGAGAGAGAAAGTAGAAGAATAGAAAAAGAAAGTAACATTATCATCACATATACTTGTTAGTTAAAAACAGGAAAGAAAAGAAAGAGAGATAGTAGAAGAGCCTTTTCGTTGAAACATTGTAGAAAGTGGGCAGTCTAGGATAACCAGTACAAAAGAGATTAAATTATCCAATTGGTATCGTGTGCTTCTTTCAAATTTAATTAAAAAGGAAACAAATAATGATAATACCTATAGTGGCAAGGAGTATGATAACATCGATGGTTATATTGCTAAAACTGACGTTTGCAGATTCTACCAGCGTCAGCTCCTAGCTCTTCTCGTCTCCCCGCCACTACTACTACTACTACTACCACTACTACTACCACTACTACTATTACTACTACTACTACTACTGCTACTACTACTGCTACTGCTACTACTACTGCTACTACTACTACTACTACTACTACTATTACTACTACTACTACTACTATTACTACTATTAGTACTACTACTACTACAGCCACCGTGAAAAAAAAAACCAACAAAAATATTGTTTTGCAATCAAAACTGAACAAAAAAAAATATGCCTGCCTGCCCACTAACTCCCCAACCAGTCACCATCAGTCACCACCAGTCACCGGTAGGAGCCAGGTCGTCAGTCACTTGACAGTCCGATGCTGTCCGTCACTCCGTCTGTTACCCCTTCAAAAAGACTTCTTCGGGCTACCTCAACCTCTAGCGGCTTAGGAGCATCGTGAATCCATCGAACAGCCGACGCGATAAGAACGAATACTACTCTTCTGTCAAAATCTCGACGCGTCAGTCCGTCCGTCCGTCCCAACTTCTACTACTACTGCTACTACTACTACTACTACTACCTACTACTACTACTACTACTACTACTACTACTACTACTCGTCCACCATCACGTTAAACTTAGCCGACAACGCGACCGCCACTTCTCTTCGACCAAGCGCAAAGCAAAATGATCACCTACACACCATCCTACCACCACCCAACCAAGTACCATCACCACCACCAACCACCACTACATGTTCACAGTTGTCTGGTATTTCACCGATTTTCAAAGATTTTTTATCATTTTTTTTTTTAATACAATTTTTTTACAATATTTTTTTTAATTAAACATTTTTTTTGTTTCTAATTATTATTATTTTTATTATTATTGTTATTATTATTATTATTATTATTATTATTATTATTATTATTATTGTTACTATTATTATTGTTACTATTATTATCGTCATATTTACCTTTTTTTATGTTTTTTTTTTCTCTCTCTCTAACAGCAAATCTTTAGTACGATGTGCAACAGTTGGATCATTAAAAGCAACGAGAAATGATTTATCAACATGTCGAATGCGCAGCATCGGTTGTCAGTGACCAAATAGATTTCAATGTTTCAATTATTAAAATCAATAAAATTTTAAATACAATATTTTAAAATAGTTATTATTTGATAATAAAAACAACTTGAATTAAAAGATTATCTATTATGTTACAAAAGTTCCATTACAATGTAATCCTTTATTTTCTTGTCACTCTCTGAGAATATCATGCGAATCTGATTTGACAGTCAATGCGTTCAAATTATTTGTCTATAGTTAGTATTGTTTTTCTTGAAATTTCTATTGGATTATTATTTGATTAGATAAATAGAGCACTTCGGACCAGAGAATTGCAATTTTGTTGTATATGTATATATACATACATGTTAGATGCATCCATCACGTATGTTTGTATGCACGTGCCCGTACTTGTTGTACGCGAGCAAGGGTGCATATACACGTACACTAATATTTCATTTATTAACTTACTACACATGTTTTGAATTTGGTGTATTTTTAATGTATATATACATATGAGTCATAACAATTACCATAAAAAAAAAAGAGATTATTTAACTACCAGATTAATCCTTATTTTTTCTTGATTTTTTCTTATTATTGGTGAGATGTCATTTTGTATTGATTCATAATTGTGTCTAACTAGTCTTATCACCCCTTAGGTATATAGGAGTTAGTTCTAATTCTATTACAGTTGGCTTGCGATGATTTTTTGTATATATGTGTTTAATTACGTTACTTTGTCTTGATTTCGTATTCGTGCGTTCTGATAATTAATTAACTTACTTTATTATATATTTATATTTATATTTATATTTATATTTTCTTAACAAACATTACAAATAATGAATAGAATATGAATTTTCCAAAAATTTTAATAATATGAGAAAACGAATATGATACTTGGCAAGGATACGTATTAGAATGAAATTTCTTGTCTAATTTCTTGTTTTTTTTTTTTGCCTTTCTGGTATAAAAGTATTTTGTAATTTTGTAGATCGAGGTCTCGCAGTCCACGTAGAAGATCTTTAACCCGTAGTCGCAGCCGTGATCGCCGTTCTCGTTCCGATTCTCGAGATAGACGGTATTTTTATCATTATAATTAATTAATAATATTTCTTTTTCTATTTTAATATATTTTTTATCAACTATTATATCATAAACCTAAAGGGTTTCCCAATAGTTGCATATTAACCTTTGTTTATTTTGGTCTAAAATAAATTTCATTTGGAAAATGATGGCTGAGGCGCGACACACGACACTATTAAAATATAAATATCTTTATATACTGTGATATATCTCAAACCTTCATAATAAATATGCTTCTTATTCTCTAATTATTATTTGTTATGAAATGTATTAGGTTTTTCCATATAATAGTTGATTAGAGATTTGCCAAAATGTAGATAAATGCTGCAGCGCAGCAAGGATGTTCAGAAATTAACATGCTATGGTTTATTATTTTTCTATTTAATTACAGTTAAATATGCCGAATGTGATGGAAACTGGACAACTCTGAAGATGAAATTTGACACGTCTATACGTGTTTGCATTTGTGTATTAATGATATAATATATTTATAATCATATCATAAATAAACAAAAGTAAACATAGGTAAAAAAAAAAAACGCTCAGTAATACACATACAACCAACATATATCGTACACAACAGACACAGGTAAAATTAAATGAGATATACATTGATAAACATACTGACAAATATACTGACAAATATACTGACAAACTCACACAATACAAATAATTGAGCGTGATATTCAATTTTGGGCGTGTTGGCTTAATTGCTCTAAATGGCAAAAAGAAAAACTGAATCGATTCACTTGACTTACATTCAGGAATAACTTTCATTCTTTGTTAAGAATAACTACAATAATTAACCTTTTAGCTATGATAAATGACACATATGTTTGAAGACATTCAAAAAATATATTTAGCAAGAAGTGTCTATCGAAAGAAATAATATTTTCTGCTATTTGATTATAATGCACGTATATTTAAAACAATATATGAATAAATAAAATCACTTAGTAGCTAAAAGGTTAATAACAATAATAATAGTAATAATTAATAACTAATAATAAACAATAAATTATAAATAAAACAATAAACAAAAAAATGAAAACGTTAATGCTCTGTATCAAAGAAATTGAAGGAAATTTAATATTAGAATAATGAATTTGAAGGAATAGACAGAAGAAAAAAAAAGACAAAAATTACTTTGTGTTTCATTTACTTATTTTGTACCATCATGTAATAGTTATAAATAAAAAATCTATCAGTAGTATATTATTTTTTAATACCTAATTTTAAGTCCGTATTACCCAAAGTCAACATACATAATCTTGCACCTTGTTGACACAAATGATAATCTCTGATCGGTAAAGACAATGTTTCATCGAGAAGTTTCAATATTTTTAAATATGTTTCCAAAGCTTCATTGTGCCGTCCATCTTCGAGATGACGCGAAGCGACTTTAAAAAGCATATCTGTATCCTGTAATGCTTTTAAACCCTTCAATATGTTTGTATTTTTTCCACATTTTCGACAATTAATCATAAACTCATCTGTACTTGTACTGATTGGCAAGACATTGCCGCAAGATTTTCCCGAATCGCATTTAAACCTAAATATTATTTATTTGTTTATTATTATTACTATTAATTATTATTATTATTATTATAATTATTGCTATTACTATTATTATTATTATTATTATTATTATTAAATACTAGTAGAATAATGAAAAGAATAATAGAAAAAAATCTGTTTTTTTTTTCAAGGTATTATAGAAAACCGAATTGTAGTACATAAATTTGCAATCAAGATGTTTTACTACTAATGAAAATTTAAATTTGTTATATATTTTTTTATACTATTGATTTTAATGTGAAAAATTATTATTTTAAATATTATAAATTTGAGGTTTGTTTTTTTCGTTAAATTTTTTAATTATTAATCATTTAATATAATATTGTAAAGGTAGAAATTGGTACTATTAATTTATATTTATATTACTGTTTTCATTGTTTAGCATTGTCAAGTTATTCAATGAATTATTGAATAAATAAATTAACAGGAATTTATTGTACTAATTGAAATAAACTAATGAAAGATGTAAAAAAATTTAATTTGATACCTGAAAATTGTAGGATCTATTTGTTCCAATAAGGGCCAATGGCCTGTGCACGCTTCGCACTTGCAATCGAACCAATATTGTACTCTCAAATTTCGTTTTCGTACACCTTCAGGCATCGTAGTAAATATAGGACCATAATTTTCAGATATCTCCTCACCTTCCTCGATCGTTCGAATTGCTCTTACAACGATAGTCGTACCAATAAAATATCTAAACAAAAAAGGCTACATTATCGATTGCAAAAAGCAAAAATGTATTGAAACAATTAGGAGATATACCTTACTACACCAGGATTACACGAATGATTAAGCAAGGCTACTGTAGGATATACACCACCACCAATGAAAAGATTTGTAGCATTTTCGAGTGACTTTTTGATCGATTTTACTTTTCTATTATTTAATTCGGAAATCTGATGATGAGAGAAATCATTAGAAAATTCCAATAGATAGAATTTCATTTATACATATACATAGATTGTTCTAAATGTTCAACAATTTTACCTCGTGGGAATTAAATTGTAACAGCTGCAAATGATGCAAAAGTAATTCACCTACAAACAATTCAGCGTCCGAGAGCTTTACCTCGGATGAATCAGGTGTTTTATCGTTGTTGGGTAAATACTTGGTTGTTTTTACAAGTCTCAACAACCATGCAGCGATGTAAGCTCGATGAAATATATCTTCACTTGTACGTTGATCTTCGTGAGTCACTATGAAAATGCATATATTTCAAATAAAAGCAAACAAATCAAAGATTTGTGTAAAAGTCGTAATTGTCACCTAAATCATGAAATGATTCATAATCATTTCCATTGTATGGTTTTTTTTCCGAAATTTCACGTTTCTCTTTGGTAGTTGTCAAACGTTCTCTCATTTCAAGGAATTCCTTGAATGGTCTTTGAAGAAGAGTTCTAAGAGCTAGAATGCACGTGATCGAAGCTTGGGATAGCCATAAAACTGGTAACAAACTGCATTCACGAATATGCAATTGAGCATCTTTATCTCTGCAACGAGTACTGCAATAACTCACGCAACTGCAAACGTTACAAGCTGCTGGTATTGGGACGATCATCTTGGAGAAGCAGAAGAAGCAATGATTCAACCTAAAAATCAACAGCCGATTCTCCTCAATTTTTGTATGGACTAAAAGCTTATTAAAAACTATATATTTATAATTACCTACCTACCTATATTCGTCTAATAAAAGAGCACAATGTGGTCGTTCAATTATAAGAATTTCGCCAGGTAAAATTTTCTTCTTAGCAACAGCGTGTCTTCCTATGTCATTATCATCATCGTTTTTTATTTCCACAAGTTTGCTACAAGCTGGATAAAGAGGATTACGTTTGATTATTTTTCTCATGATTTTGTGTTCATTCGTTTCATTTGCCATGCTTTGCTGCGGAACTATTTTAGATTTTTCTTTCAATTGTTGACCTTTCTCCATCAAGCTCAACATTAACATGATGTCGGTTCCTAATTTTTTTTTTCGCTCGGACGAAAGTTTTGCATCATCCAGTAATTGTAACGCGAGTCTAAAACATTGTATCGCTTTAGCGTTATTCTTCAGAGCTAGAAAACATCTAGCTCTCCTTTCTTCCACTTTGTATCTGAGTTCTTTGGGATAATTCAATCGAATTGCTTCTTCTATATCCTCTAAAGCATGTTCGTATTTTTGCAAATGATAAAGTGCTGCTGAACGATTAGCGAGCATCACTGGAAGATCTAAACACACATAATTTACAAATCATCCAGAGTGAATGAAACTTGGATAAATAGAAACATTATATTATTTTTTGTACCCTTTTGAGGTGCCAAAAGTACAGCTTTCGAGTATGCATCCAAAGCTTCTCCATAATCCTCACTTCCGAAATAATTGTTACCAACATTCTTATAACTCATAGCTTTCACCCCGTCTTTGATTTCATAATTTTCAACTTCAAAGGACAAATGATGGGCTTCAGGATAACTCAATATAAAAGCAACTCTATCTGCGTTTGATCGAAGATTGGTAAATTTCTTAAAATCCTGTTGAGATATCGCGTTTCTTACGGCAAACAAATTTGAGACAAAATAATCACTGATCTCGTAGTCGAAATTGTACGCCATGTCGAAGAAACAAAACGCGATGTAATATAATCTAACGATTAGAAATAAGGACTTGTTATATTGCTACTACACTAGAAATCTTACTGGTAGACCGGTTCAGTTGCCTTACCCGAAAAGTTCTCTCTTACTGTTGCACACTATTTCCGTAGGTGCTATTTTTATAACGCTGCAACGTTCCGCGACCGAAACGTTTACAGAACCTAATGATAATAATAATAATAATAATAATTAAACACAGAACGTAATAGAAAAATGATTAATATTTTTTCCTTTTGAATTTATATTTTATTTCAATTAGCACATATAGCACTCGCATTTTGTATGTCGCGTGACAATTGTAGAATGAACAAAAATAGAGACCCGACAACGATCATTTCAATTGTAATTTATATAGCGTGTGCTTATTAAAATAAAGCTAATCTTAATAATAGCATAAATGCGGAGGTATTTTAACATTTTCTTATATACATAATACATAACTTATTGTTAAATATTTGCGAGTACGAATACAAGTGTATGGTGTTAATAATTATGTGTTACACCTTTTGCAGATCTCTGTTTTTTTTTTTTTTTCTTTTTTCTTTCTAATTATTTATATTACAAAACTATATAATCGTGTTTTATCTCGATAAAATATTTCTTTTTCTTATTGAAATTGATAGAAGTTGAAAAATTGACGAAAGTTCATTATCGCGTTCTATATTACACGATTATGACAAATAATAAATAGTTTTAATAATAGAAACGCGAAGAAAAAACGATAATTATTTGTAGAAAATAAGTATTCACGAGTTGAACAATACTTTCTCTGTCTGAAAATATGATGATATACATTTAAAAGAAGACATTTTGGAGAATTTAAAAGACGATGGAAATGTTAGATTTGACTAGATGGCAACGTTATACTGATGATCATGTATAAGCGAAAATGCTCTCAAATCGAGCTTCGATAAGACCTTTGGTTTTTATGTTCGGTTTCGAACTGTCGTCTGGCTCATCGAAATATCGGGTCTGACAATGAGTGGCAGCATGTAATAATAGCATTAACCAATTTGCATCAGCAAATGAAACAAATTCATATTAATGATGCAAATAAGTTAATAATAATGATAGGAGGTATAAGACAAATTATTCTAAAACTTATAGGGTGCTTCCAAATAATTAACTTAGAATTAGATTTACGCGTATACATGTACAACCGGAAGTTACTCCAGGCTCGATAGAAAAGACAATGAATATTATTTATTTTATCTCCCTCTGTTTCTTTTTTCGTTATTCATTTACTGCTATTTATTGGGTCAGTATTTGAACTCGCTAAAGAGTTAATGTTCAGTTTTATACTAACCGCAATAATATTTATTTACTGTAATACTGACCAAATAAATAGAGCACTTTTGTTATAATTTAAAAGTCGTAAGAAGCTTCCTCGATTTCTTTCGTATTCCTGAAACCCATTTTATAAAGACTACCAGCGATGACTGCTCCGACTATTGGACCAACCCAATAAACCCAATGATTTGACCAAGACGTCAAGATAACTGCAGGACCCAAAGATCTTGCTGGATTCATACTGCTACCGGTGAACGGTATAGCGGCCATATGCGAAACGGAAATGGCTAAACCTATCGCGAGAGGTGCCCATCCTTTCGTGTCACTTCTTTTTGGGTCTGTAACTGCATGAACAACCAAGACCAAAAGAAACGTGATGATCGCCTCCATAACAATACCTTGACCAGCTTCCACGCCTTTACCCAAATCGGTTGCACCTAATCCTTGACTCACTTGTTCGTTCGGAGTTATCAGCTATAAAAAATAATTATTCTTGAGTAATGTCAGAGTCAATTCATTTTCATGTTATTTCATTGCAATAGGTTTGTCACTAATATATATAATACCTTGAGAACAACGGCTCCTGCTATCGCGCCACAACTTTGGCAAACGATATAACAAAGTGATTTTAATAAAGAACAATTACCACTGACGAAAAGACCAATCGTTACCGCAGGATTTACGTGACAACCAGAAATCGGGCCCAGAAACTGTAACAAAACGAATATATACAAATTTATAATAAATCAATGATTTATTACATTAGCTACACATTCGATACTATTTACTTATAAGAAGAAGAAGAAGAAGAAGAAGAAGAAGAAGAAGAAGAAGAAAAAAGAAGAAGATAATTGTAAAACGAAAAACCGGTTCCATTTAGTATAAAAAAAGAAATGAAGCAAGAAAGTACACGTGGACGATCGCATTCGTCGTAGACTCCTCGGCGTCGTTTTAAAGGATAAGAAGAGTATACCTATATCAAAGGGGATACAAAAGTTGTCTGATCAACTCGCAAGAAGAGTCTCGAACGGCCCAGTTCTCATGTTCAATCGACAAGGTCTTGGCTCGCTGCGGGCGAGATTTGCCATAATTGCGTAATGTGTTCTTTTCTCTCTCTCTCTCTCTCTCTCTCTCATTCTCTCTGCTTTACTCCATTTCAATTCGTCTCCGAGTAAACTTTTGTCTTCATTTTCATACCCATTACACTAATCGTCTCGCTTTCGAACAAGATTGACGAGTCTCATAATACTAAGCTCGAATTATGAATGGACGCAGAATTTTTTATCGGGGTCATTCAACAAATTATACGCCAGTGTGACTGACTGATGACACATGTGTGTGGGTATACGATAAAAGGCGTCCCGATTTTTTCATCCATTTACTATATTAAACACAAGTGTATAGGAAGATCTTCTAGAAAGTATCTTGAAAGTTGACAACTACGTTAATAGATTTATTGTTTCGAACAATCTTCAAGTAGATTTAACTTTATTAACAAATATATTATATTCCACATATTAACAAATCTGAAATTGAAACTAGTACCGAAATGTCATTCGAGTTTTATAAATTATCAGCAATTCCGATATCCTCGAATCGAGAAAGAATACTTATTGTAAAAATTCGGAATCATTAACTGATTTCATGGAATATTTTCTTCATCAAAGGATTACAATTAATTAATCTTTTTAGTCTATGGATTAGAGATAAGATTTATTAGAAGCGTGCATTAGATAAGATTCTATTAAATATTTTTACTTACTTGGATTCATAAGTGTTTGAAGATTGAAAAGAAAGATATAAATAATATAATAAATTGTATAAAATATGAGGAGATATTTAATCTTGATTGAATTCGAGGAAAATTGTAAGAAATACATGTAAAATATTGGCAGAAAAAAATAAAGCAGACAAGATTTCGTTGTTATATAAGGTACCGAATCGATATAACCGGAAGATTCTCTATATAAAGAGTACTAATTATGTTAAATATCGTTGAAATATGTATGTATTTAAATGATTCGCGTATATGACCCGTCTATTTGCACCTCTGTAAAATATGTACGTATATTATATTATATATTCTGTTTCTAACTGTGTGTGCGCACGCGTGCTTATGCTTTCTCTACTTTTCGTACGTGTATACGTGATAAAAAATGATGCGTGAGTTCATCCATACTGACAGAGCCATCGACCTTACATGTGCTTGTAGATATACAGTTGCGTGCAAAAGTTTTTGGCCATTCTATTTTTGCGTTCCTACCAATTTTCTCTTCAATTTGGTATCTTGCATTATATCTGATACCTGTTCGTTGTTGGACGTCTTACGTACAAGCAGCAAGAAAAAAAAAGTAATATTTCACGCTATTACTACTCATAGAAATATTAACAAAATAAATCAAGTTTTGCACGCTACTGTATATAAGATGACGCATATTTCGAATAATAAATCGTGTAAGATCTAGAATTACTTCATAGATTTGTAGCCCAGAGGGTCCGCAACCTATAGCCTCCGGTCATACAGACCGATTTATTCCCGAGTTTATCTCTTTCAAGAATCACGAAACTTTACAGATCTTTCTTCAGAAGCATGAAGTTTGTTTTTTCATATGTATGCTCCGTAAAAGTCATCATCATCCTAACGATTATCAGTATTTATTTCTAATAATAAATCTTTCTTTTACCTAGCAAATAATATCTAGCGATAGAGCACATCTCGTTAATAGTACAAACATATCTATGGACATTTCAATTGTTCATTTATTTACCACGAGAAGATTTTAATAAGTAATTCAATCGTTACAAAACTTTCGATCTATTCAATTGAAGAAAGTGACAAATTCAAAAGCAAATGAGTATCCATGCTAAATTTAATCCTAAAGGATCATTAATCATCGATAATCCATTTAAAATAACTTTATGATTACGTTACGATACGTTTGGAAGATCATAAACACATTCAAATCTTTGCGATACTTGCGATAAATAATTATAAATCCTTGAGTAAAAATTAATTTTCTGACTGACTGGCATATTAGATTGACGACGACGTCTTTTACATCTTTTGATAGAAAGAAACGTACACGCGTGTACTCGTATATACATATTGAAAGATAAATAGTAGTAGAAGTAGTCTAGCATACCTCGTCTCTTTTTATTACGTAAGACGATATACGAACAACCTCTTGAAAGGTTCGAGTGCCTATACAATGTTATCTCGAGGTGGCATTTGTCACATTTTCGATCAAACGTGCATCAACGAATGATATTTGTATTTAACACGTGTCTTAAAATACCAACATCTCTCTCATTCTTGGCGCACACATCTTTTTCTCGAGGCCAAATTGTTAAAGGGTAAAACAATTAGAACGGGTAATTAATTACCTTATTTTTTCTCCTTTGAATTATCACATGTTAAATATACATTGATATTGAATAGAATTCGATATACTATAGGTAAGAGGTTTGCGTTCCGCGTAAGGTATATAAAAGGGAAGGGGAGGGCAAATAAGGCCGCTGATTTGCCCAAGGGGGTTTAACCAGCGAGATGGTGCAATTTTGCCCTGGAGCCTTCGACAACCTACTCGAGTAGCTGCTATCTCCATCGTTGTTTCGAAAACAACAAATTTGTTCAAGTTTTGCATTGAAATACGAACAAATTTCTTCCCCAATACAATACAATAAACATCACATATACTTACCTACTTATAATTAATAGATAAATGAATACGCAATTTTTTCATTGCTCTGTTGTTCGACATAAAACATTACACGACGATCAAGACGATAGATAGATAATGTATAATAAAGAAGTATACAAAACAACAGGTGTTTTGTTTTTTGCTACCGATAGTATGTGGCATCGGTTATGAGATTTTTCTCAATTGTTCTAACAATACATGACTCACGATATTTAATAATTTGCGTATGCATCATTCACGTCAATTCACGATGTTATTTAAATATCAAGAAAGATTATTTATTTTTGTGTGTAAAATATAGGAAGAATGACGGTGACGAAAAGTAGCGACGAAGTAACTTTTCATTTCTTTTACTTTCGAATAAAGCTATAGGTCGAGGTCAACAAATTTAGCGTCGGAAGTGACGAGGTGTCGAATATGTTTCCACAGAAATTGCGCATCCTAAGAGCCTACGCACCTGCGTTAAAATGTAAACCCAAATAGTGTCTACCTATGTAAATTATTGAAAGAAGTCGTTGATCGTTAAATTTAGTTTCGTAAAATGACCTCGGTTAATTACATCTTACAAGATTTAGCCGAATTCTCTCGTAGTTAGTTGAAGTTATCACGACTAGCCATCTTTTGTCTATAAATCTAATTTGTCTAGTTTTAGATTCGAATAAAAGTCATCAGTAATCTTTTGTCAAAAAATACAAAATCTTCATTCTACGAAGATATGATGAAATAATAAAATAAAAATACAAACTTACCTGTGCCAAAGCTGCAACTGCAAGACCAAACGTAAATGCAATGTGCAGCACACTTGGCGCTTGTCCTTCCACCCATGTGATACACGAAGCACAACCAATGAGAACCAACAGAAAGGTTCCAAGGGCTTCGGCAAAAAGTGACACCAAAAATTCGAGTTTTGCTACTTCTTCTACTCCGATGAACTCTTTAACGCCTAAGAAGAAAAGTTAAACGCGCATTTCAATAAAGTTGACTCATTTGTATCGTTGATAAACATTCTTTTGAATTATTCAATTGAATTATTGAAAGGAAGGTGTGCACAGGAAATAAAGGAGACGATCGAATGCCGATAAGAAAACAACTAAGATTATTGTAAAGAAACCGTATCATCAACCGTATCATAATTTAATTTGCATTCGTTAACTGATGAATAAAAATAAGTTGTTTTCAATTTGTTTACAACATTGAAATTTTATTGGGCTGCGGAAAAATGGTTAAATAATAGTTTTGTGCTATACCGAGTTGAGGAAGAGATCATGCAAGAGTTATTCTATCATCGTTAATCGGATTATCGTGTTTCTCGTTTGCGTACATGCAACAGAAAAAACACAGCAAAGGTCAGCACAGCTCACTCAAAATCTTCGCTTCCAAACTACATACAAGAGAGAACAAGAGAGAGAAAGAAATAAAAAGAATAAGAAATAGAGATATGATATCTTAATCCGTTGGTAAAGTATCTGTATATCTGTAAGTTAGTAGTAGGCATCATTGAAGTTTACGTTGGACCAACCCTAGCAGCAATAAAAGCAATAAAACTATGACATAACGTTCAGATAAAAATCGAGAAAGCGTGTGTAGTAGTTACAGTAGCAAACTCAAAACACCGATAACAATTTCTTATCTTACGTTAGATATTTTTTTCTTCTTTATATACATCCGTTAGTTTTCATTCGAAAGAGTTACGTGATACGATACTTGCACGTGATTTGAAAAATAGAAGAACGAAATAATATTAAGATGACCGAATCAAATTTACCTTTCCACGCCTTACCCATGGTTCCAAGGAAACGTTTGAAAGAGAAAAAAAATGAAAAAAAAAAAAGATTTTGTAGAACCTATTACGATCGATCGATCGATCGATCGATCGATGAAACTGTCGAGGTGTTTAACTTGGTTCCTTCACAGATTGTACATATATTTATGCCGGATGGATACTAATATAATATTCACAACTCGCACGAAAAGTATAAATATATATATTATATGTGTGTGTAGAATTTGGTGATATGTGTGTGTGTTGTGTCGTTCGCACGTGAGTTTGTGGACTATTGATTCGGCGGAGTCCGAGTTTCGCCTTCATATATCGTTCTTCTCTACCACACTTTTTCCCCTCCACTGTCTTTCTCTCTTTCTGTCTCTGTTTGTCGTCACCAGCATCAGTTACCTTGTCTTACCACCACCACCACCACCACCACCACCACCCCACCACCACTTCCACAATCACCACTACGCGCGACTCAATTCGAAAAATTCAATGAGATATATATTTTATTATAGTGATTGATATCTAAACGAATTCGTCGAACTGTACAAGAAATTTGAACATCCTTTATGGTGTCGCGATACTTGCTTTGAGAATCTTTCGAGAAACGATATAAACGAAAGTATATTTTCCATCATTCGAACTCGTAAAAAAATATAGAAAAGATGATAAATGTGTTGACGTTATGAACTATTGAAATGATACATTATTATTTGTAAACGAAGATAAGGAAAGTAGATGGCAATTGTATTATAATGGTAAACGTTTGTGTATTTATGTAGCGATGCATGAGCTAATAAATTTACAAAATAATGAAACGCGCAAAAGACTTTATACGATAACAGCATGATATTGTACGTAATGGTAATTAATTAATTACGTGTGCTATGTACAACGTACACGTAACCGGACAAATAATTAATCCTTTGCGATCGGTAGCCATTTAGTAATGCATATCCTATTCGTTCAAATTATTTCTATTCTAACGTGCATTTAGTTTATTATTATTCCTCTAAACACTACGCGCATATTTTTTCATTTTCTTTTTATTAATTATGGTAATTTGTCGAAGTGACACGTGTGACCAGAATATTATGGTTTTTATCGTCGCAAAGGATAAATCTATCAATGAGATTTAACACTTGTTGCCATTTACACGAGGTATATTTATTTTCTTTTTTTAGATCTGAATCTATATATTTATCATTTATACAATTTCATTCGTTTATTATTTAAGATTTCGCGATTATTATGGAAATGAATTCATGATGTTGAGGTAGAGATACACGAAGAATCAGTGTTAACAGTTGATAAGATACTCTTGATCAATATTTAAACAGTATTTGTTTGAAATGAAATATTGGTATACCTACTAATTAATAATATTAGGATGCACAATTGGGTCAAGTTATGCAGAAATTGATGAACTTTGGAAAAGAACGTCAAGGTAAGAAGATTCGCAAAGGATGTGACATAGCAAATCATAGGAAATATCCGTTGTAGGATAGTGATTTGACTCTGTTCGCATTAGTTTTACGCAAGAGTGTTAGAGCTAACGCGAAACTAGTCGAGCACGTTGTTACTTTTCATGGGAATTTACCCGAGATGCGTATCTCGATTCAAGAATAACCATACCTATTTACTCACTTACGTATTATTGTACAAAAGATGATATCATTTTTTTCTCTCCGTTTTTTACTAACTTTTCGAATACGAGATCAGTTTAGCTTCTGTCCCGGCATTAGAAATACTAAATTTAACGATTATTTCTTCCACTGTTACGCAGTTAACGTAATGTAACTTTGAAGCACGTATGTTTCGTTTTGGTAATCACGTTTTACGTTACATTCGTGTCATCTTGATGAATACAAACAAGAAAAAAGAATGAAAAATGTTATTTTTGCTATTCGCGTTCCCTTTTTTTTTCTTTTTTTTTTTTTAACTCTATTCTCCATTAAATATTACATTTTAATTTGATGAAATTCTTTGAAATTCTTTGAAGTTCTTTGAAATTGCAGCAGAAGCGTGCGTTCAACGCATGTCCCTCGATAGTAATTAAGCGCCATTAATTAGGTCACTACGTGGCAATGTTGTCTTCCGTAAATAGTTTTCTCTCGTACACCTGTTCTTTTATTAAGATAACACTATCGTTGACGTATTTCAAAAGCAATTTGTATATACCTAACGTACCCAACAACGTACCTAACATGTACATAACGTACCAAAAATTCACCACTTTGATATCGTTTCAAATGATTCCGAGATGTCGTGAAATTTTAATCAGAACATTTATCCCTAAGCTTAAAGAAGAAAACCGATCCTTATTTATTTATTATGACTTGAAAAAGTCATTTAACTATTGTCACACAACAATGTAGATATATAATATCCATCTAATTGCATTATCTTATCTGATAATTATGAGGAATGGTTGTCGCATAAATTGACTATGATATTGATCGAATTATTTGCTTTATTCCAAGTATAATGCGAAACTAATGTAACCTGATTCTATTATCCTTTACTTTTGTCTTTTTTTTTTTTTTTTTTTTTTTTCTATAAAATGTCGGCACGAAGTAATGAAAATTTATCGTTCTACAAATTCTTATTTATGTCGATTTATGATAAGAAAGTATCATACGCTTTTTGTTTTTTCTTAACTAATTCTTCTAAAGAGTTACTTGATTTAAAAAAGAAAAAATAACATATGATTATTTTTATCGGTTGCCGTATATATGTACGTGTAACAGGAGTGCAAGTATATCGGGTAAATATTAAGTCGAGAAACATGTAACCCGTTGAGTTCGTGTTTTATCAGTCCGTGAACGTATAACAACGAGCGAGCGCTAATTGAATTCATCTTGTTAGATCGATTTTTAAAGGATCGATGAATTTTTTGCATTTGTATCTTTCACTTAGGTTAATAATTAATATTAATTGCAAACAGTTAAAATGATCTTTTCAAATCGATACAAGGAATAATATCGTAATAGAATATTCTAATCATCTTTAGGTAATTAACTAATAACAAAAGCGAGTGTTTTCAATGAATAATTCGTTTTATCTCTGATATGATACTCGAGGGAATTGTCCGTTTCCATTTTTTTTTTCTACTTTTTAACTCTACCTTACTTTCAAAATGTCATATTAATAAATAGTATATGAGAGATAGTACACACTCGTATTAATTATTTTTTTTCTTGTCTTTTTTTGTGTCCTTTTTTGTGTCTTTTTCTATCCACTACTAGCAACGTCATTATTTTTTAATAGGCGTAACTCTCGAGGCAAAGAACGTATAATGGGTCACAAATATTACGTGATTATTATCACGAATTCTTTATCAATCTTAAACTACAGCTTGATAAATAATTTGTAATTATTGTTAATTAAAGCTTGGAAAAAAATTCCAGACCGCAGGAAGTTGAAATTATCGTAACTAACTATTATGTGTTGCTCTCATCGTTATACTAATATCACAAACAAATTTGGTTCCACGTTAACGCGAAGACGTTAATACGAAGAAAAAACAATCAAATACGATCATCGTTTTTTTTTTTTAACTCAAAAAAAAGTCTCTATGACATTCTCGAAAATTGATCGTTAATGTGTCTACTCAATTGCCGTGAGAATTCGTAGAAATCAAATAAATACTGCAATTGATTGCATTTGCGGCGTACTTTTTTGTTGATATATTATTTTTTCTTAATATGTTTAATATCAAATGTAGTTGTTTTTTTTCTCTTTAGTACTATTTGCAAGTTGTAAGTAAGAACTGTTCTTTGCGTTCGCATACTAGCACGTGCAACTTCTCCGAGAATGTTCGTAGCGTCAAGGTTATACAGCTCGTTAAATAAAATTCTACGTCGAATCGTTATTCGGTAAAATGGAACGACGATTTAGCAACATATCCGTTCGAATCTTGTGTCAAATTTGTTCGATCGGTAAATTTGCACGATCGATAAAGTATAAACTTCTTCTACTTTCAATTCTTGCCGATTTTATACAGAAAATTCAAAGATTTGATACTGATGGGTAAAGTTAGCAAAGAAAACGATAAGATTCCAATAGAACATTTGTTTTTTTCTAAACGAATCTAAAAACCACAATATTAGCATAACAACAGGTAGCGTAAAATCAAGAAAAACAAAACTGAAATCATTGATTCCGATCATTATTTTATCATTAACATTGGAGTTATATTCGCGGATGGGTGAACACCGTACGCGGAAAAAATTCAAACGAATGGAAAACTTTGTATAAACTTCTTTTATATACGTAATACATAAACATACTAACATTTTATCGAATTACGTCAGCTAATTTTATGGTAATTGTATGGTACGTACGTGTAAATATTTTTCATCTAAACGATTCCTGCAAAATCTTACTTAGTGATAATGGTAATTAATCTTAGCAACTAATGGAGAGAGCACCCATTGAAAATAATTAGAGACCGATGAATGGTTAACTCACGAAGGCATTGTTCCTTCAAATGATATTCTTCTTCTTCTTCTTCTTCTTCTTTCGGTGCAAGTGATTTTTCGCGCTGTATTTTTTGCCCATTTCTCACATGACCCTCGGGAAATACCGTTGATACGTTCATACCGATATTCGTCTTCTGTATTAAACGTCAATTGTTATAGCACCATTTTTGCAGTATTCTCTTGCATATTCCAATCGAACAATTCGACTGGCGTATATCCGGCGGCCTTGGCAAAGATCTTGAAAAATGATCAAACAAGACTATGAATTCAGGGTAAACGATAGTAGTTTCATTGGACGGCGCCATTAAGCGTAACTCGTTGACGGATTCATTAGATTCTAGACGTTTGCCAAGACTCCGCGAAAATAATAGTTATGATATGTGAGAAAGAGATGGAAAAATAAAAGAACGAATGGAACAAAGACAAAGGACTTTGCGTGGTATCGGTACACACGACGTTAGCTCACGTAACTGCTGTGTTACTGTGTAAGGTTCGCTTCATTTTTCTTATTCGCGTCAAACAATAATTTAGCATTAATTTAGCATTAATTTAGCAATAATTTTGATAATTCGGTAAAGAAACACTTTCATATATGAAGATAACATCAATTTTTCATTTTTTTTTTACTCACAATTAGCTATAATTATCAGTAGACATTTGTTTATTAACATATGCATTTATCTTCGATATCAGATCTACCGAAAATGAATGCAAAACTATTATTACCAAACGAGTCAAGAAAACCGGTTATTATTGATGAAATATCTTATGCAAGGAAAACAAACACAATGTAAATCAGAATAGGTCAAATATTTGTTGACAAAAATAATATTATACATATTAATATAGAAAAAATGTCAATCGAATTCCTTGGTGGAATGACTTACTTGGTGATCTTTTGGCAGGGTCAACCTCTTAGCCCTGTTGTTGAAACTCGAATGGAAGACCAAAAACTCTTTCCAAAGATTAACGTAGGTGTCGCGTTTAGTATTTGAACGATGATGCACAACTCGAATCGCTTTTTTTCGCACAACCACCATATTATTCTCTAGAGAATACACCACCACCACATAGTTGTTCAGCCCGTTGATATTATCATTGTCTCACTTTGTGCATGATTTTCATTATTTTCTTCAAAAAATAACATATGCTCAAGGTTGAAAATTGATGTTGATCTAATTAAAGAAGAAGCAAAAGAAGAAAAAAAAGAAGAAAAATAAGAGGAAGAAAGATTATCGTTGCACCTGTTCACGCCAGAGAAGAACTCGTTTCAGTGAGGAACAACAATGGAACAATGGTGTTGCGATGTTATGTGCTTGCTGCACGAACACGATTCTTGCTTGATCCGAAGGGATAAAAAAGAGAGAGATAGAAAGAGTACGGCAACTGGCCTTGACATCGACCATGCCACGTTCTCGCGTGACAAATGGGGATGGTCAGAGAATATGGTAGAGGTAACACTGTTTATACGATCAATCAACTAACGACAATAACACTTTATTTTATTTTTTTCATCTTACGATAGTTGAAAATATCATTTTAAAAATAGTTAATCAAGTGATTACTGATTGTAAATTCCCGTGTGGATAATTTAATTAATTATCCCATAAAGTATCGAGAAGCTTTCATTTCCTGATATAAAATATACATTTGGATACTTTGGACTTCTTTATCTGGCGAGCATAAAATACGAAATTGCAGACATCAAATCTTCGAGTGACCTCGACCTTTTGTAACTCCTTTAAATCCAAAATGAATAGCATTGGGTACATATACGAAGGACGATGAGATAAGAGGTCTTACAAGTCGGATAATCGTTCCGCTACCCTCCACTTCCGGTCATACCTTATAACAAACGATCCCCACTTATGTATGCACGTACACAGGATGTTCCAGGGTTTATCAAGCAATCTATTGAAGCATATTCTACAAGCAAAGATAACAAAAAAAATGATTATTAAAAAGACTACTTTTTGCAGAAAAGTGATTTAAAATAAATAAGTTTTTTTGCAAACCACAGTTGAAATTGACACGAACGAGTTTGCTTTACGTTAATATCATCGTTGAAGTATTAATATTTATTCCGGGTTCGAAGTTCGTTATTAACGTTACGAGAACGCGTTCGCTGTTGAAGGTATGGAGAACGGCCAGCTCGCGTGTTAAAATATCACGATAATTAGCATACGTCGGGTCAAAAGATAGATGAAACGCGATGCGAATGCATAACATGATTTCTAACTTTGCCACACATACCTAATTTTATTTTCCCGTAACACACACACACACACACACACATACACACACACAGAGAAATAGTTGTTGTTTCGATGCGCCACGATAAATCGATACTATTTTTCTCTCTTTTATCTTTTATATAGGATCAGTAAATGAGTAAGTTAACAAATTATGTCAATTATATTTTTCTATTCACAAAGTAACGCGACATCACATTGAATATTTACACATTTTCCTAGCATTATATTATTGCGAGCCTACACATGAATATTTGAAAGGATATCCGTATACCGACATGCGATTTGCACGATATTACGTTTTGTTATGACGAGCTCAAGCAAATGCACTAAATGCATCATAACAAAACATACAAAAATATAATTTTAATTGTAGTCATGGTATTTTTCTCGTTATAAATCATTACGTTATAAATCCGAATATAGTATCGTTCACGGATGCAATCAAAATGCAAGCCGTCTGGTTTCTTTCTTCTATTGGCTTTGTAGTATTTGAAAGGCTTGATAGAAAACAGCTATGGAACATTAAAATTTAAGCATCGATTTATTGGTGCATTGCAATCTGCATGATACTGTCACGTTCGCATGTACCTCCAATTTATGCACGATAAAATCACTAAAATAATCATAAGTGTCTTTGGCACATCGTACTATAATATTATACATATATTGATTCGTTGCATTTATATTTTACAATAGACCAACCAACAATACTAGAAACTTTAGCAAGTTAGAAAAAAATAGTGTTTGTTTGATTTTTTCACCGGATTTTACTGTCATTTTTCTCTATATATTTTATATGATGAAATAAAATGTGTGTGTGTGTGTGTTTGTTGTAGAAAAAGATAGTCACGTAGAAGGAGTTATGCAGCCGGAATTATCACGAGGTCGTGATCCTTCTGTCCAGTTCACAAGAGTTTCTCAGAAAAAACATACAACATGCGGCCATGTGTGCCTCGTAAAGATCCCATATACGAAATATCAGGTTTTTACAGGACGAACTGGATTCAGGTCGATTTGATGCTGACGTTAATCGTTGCAATCGGTTTAATAGGCATAGAAAAAGAAGATATTACGGTTATTTCTTTCTATTATTGAATCGTTTTTAAGTTATTAACAATTATTAATTTATTTCCTTTAAATGAATGGAAGAAAAAAATAATGCAATGCAATATAATTCTGGTAGTAAAAGTCGATAACGCATTAGCGATGTTTACACAGGTACACACATCTAGCCACCTATACAAACGTTATCCACCGACCTACATTGTACGTTTATTTGTGTCATATAAGGATTACCTATATACCTATATACCTATATTACCTATATAGACCTATATAGACCTATATAGACCTGTACAATTGTGAACATGATCGCACTTAAGTATGTAAAATAGTCAATTCGATCAATTTGTAACTTGACACGTTCCTACGTCCACTTATATTACAATTATTGCTTCCTACGCTTGCAGTCTAATCGGTGTAACCGTTCGAATCCCTCCAAATAATTTTCAACTAATTGAAATTTACGACGATCGGTTTAATCAAATATGACAGGAATATGAGTGGATCTTCCAAAAATTTAGAACAATTTTTGTCGAGAAAATATTAGAGACACACCGTCTTTACATTCACGAATCTTTTAATATTACACTTTAGTTATTCAGAGAGAAAATTCTTTGGCGGTGGTTGATTCAAAATAGATAAATCTTTTTTTATCATATTACCTCTCTCTATCTCATTCAAGTATAATATGTTTGACTTTATTCAAATATTCTAGCCAAGATCAACAATAAATATAACAATAATATATAAATTAAACTCACTCTTGTTGTCTCTGAATTCTTTTAAATTGTTGCAATTCTTGGCATAGAATCTATCGTCTCTGAGAATCAAGGATAAACTAAAAAAATGCATTTATTTCTTTCCTATGATTTGATTGCATGTAGATAAACAGATACCTAATTATGTGTTTTGACGAAGACCACCACATCGCACAACAATATTTTTTATCCCGTTAATCCGAATTATAAAACAATATATTTCTAACTTTATTTTAAAGGAAGTATATGAAATGAAAATAACATGATCGTTGGCCAATCAAATTTATATAAATCGCACTATTTGTGACGTGAAGCAATTTTTAGGTCATCCGGGTTGGGTCCGCTTCCATTTGGAGTTCGATTAACGGACTTCCACTGTAGATAAAAAAAAGATATAAATAGAAAGTTTTGGGTTTTTCTACATTATAAAGCGTCATTCAAAAATCTAAACTTAAAAATATTGCATTCGTTGCAGTACCATCAAGAAATTGCAAGCATCTTGGTTAGGCCTTGTAAAAAATATAAAAAAAGAATAAAAAAAAAGAAAATAAAAAAAATAGGAGAACATTAGGTGAGATAGTTTGTGAAGATCGTGGTTACACATTGTCAGTATCCCCTACTCTCTCTCTCTCTCTCTCTCTCTCTCTCTTTCTCTCTCTTTCTCATATTCAGGCAAAGTCGTATACGCGCTTAGTTAGAAATACACGTATACTCACGCGTCTACACGCATACACACTGACGCGTCAACCGGGAACGGTATCTCTATGGTCGAAAGAGAACCGACACAGTCGTCTCTTGGAAACTCCTCCGGCCTGTACGCGGAGTCTTCTGATCATCATCGCATCATCTCCTATACCTATTCTATTATTTTCTTGTATTCACATTTTTTGAAAAAAATTGTGTCAGCTGATAGAAAAGATCTTTAATCACGTGTTGTTATTCGTTCGTCAAAGGATCGAAGGAAGGATCGTTCCGTCTTTATTTCTCATTCATTATATTTACTCGAGGTATGTCACTTAAATATCTTATCTTATTTTGTCAGATACTATTTTTATCTTTTCATCCAATTGATCCAACAGAAATAATTCTAGATTTTTCCTACCATTATTTACACCTTTATTTTTATCTCTCCCATTAAATCTTACACGTATTACACTTATTCAATCAGAAACCGTTTTACTTGTAAATTATCAACAGTTCATGTGACTTATGTATTACAGTATTGTTGTTAAAAAGAGAATAGAGCAAGGGAAAAGAAACGGGACATTTAACGAAAAAATGAAATACACAAATTGCGAGAAAAACGAAGGAAAGTGCATTCGGATTGTTTACATTTACGTGCTAGACGTTTCATGCATCATTCTTAAGTAGTGTGCCAATATATTTCTCATGCACGAAACGCGCCAAACGCTTCCAGACCTTTTCTTCTTATCTTTAACTTCAAACGATTCGAAAATTTCAATCATTGCACATCTACTTATGCTAATCTTTACCTTTACGAATTAAAAAAATATTCATTCGAATATTTCATTAATAAATTTTTAATCAATCGTATAATTAAAGTTAGAAACATGAGGAAAGTTCAATAAATCCCCATAAAAGGTAAAATCGACACCAATAATATCAAAATTAGCCTATAAATTGCGTAAGAATATATTTTTGTATCATCGCTATTTAAGTCTCGATAGCCTTCAACTTTTTTTTTTATAAATAGCGAAGAAACGTATAGAATAAAAAAAGAAATAAATAAGAGAAAACAAAAATGGAGTTAGAACCGTAGAAGGACAATGACCGTGTAAGAAAGAAACGAACGGTTCCATACTCGATAAATCTACGAGGACACAACCGGTAATTTATGTCAAATCAACCGGTTTCTTTCTGCTTTCACGAGAATCATGGAAATTTACCAACGAAGATTCAAAATCTGATTAATACAATGATCTTTTTGGGATTTCACGATTAGAATCATCATGGTGTGTAAAAATTACGAGAATCGGAACTTATCTCTTCTCCGAATGAATGAATAAATATATCAGAAAAACCCATACATTGTATCGATATTACAATGTAAAACTTTTCTACTTTCTTTTTTTCCTTTTTTTACATAATATGTTTGTAGTCAGAACGTATATTGAATGAATATAATTACAATTCTAATAGACTCTTATTACCAGTAATCATATTTCCAACAAGGTAATCAAATAATTATTTGATGAAGTATACTAGTAATACAAACATATCTTCCCTCGGTTTGCAGTAAAAAATTCGAGATCGCGTTCGCGAGATTTCGTAATAATTAACGAACGGTAAATTAATTGTGTAAATCTTACATCTGATTTTATGGTAACACAACGAACGTATCGTTACGGTGGATTACTTATGGAGGATGTAACGATCTCTCTAATATCTGTCTATGTGTGTGTGTGTGTGTGTGTGTTTGTATGCGTTTGACATCATCGTAAAATAAAGTAACCACCTCCACATTATTCGTGAGACACGATTTAGAGGACATCTCGAATAATATCCATTTGCGTAATCATCTATCTGATTGCGAATGAATGATCTCGAAATAAATGAAAATAAAAAAATGACAAAATGAAAAAATCAAAAAAATTACAATCGATTCGTTCGATAATTATTATGATGATCGAAAAAAATCTCAATCTAGATTGTGTACGCGCGTATTCGTTATGGTTAATCATCTTTTTTTTATGGTTTTTCATTCGGTGTGCAATTCAGGTAGCGTTAGAAAAGGTGGTATTCGATCATTTGCGATTTCTAACTAATCTATGACTATTAGATCACATCCCGGAAGATCGTACGAGTCATTGAAAGGATAATACAAAAATATAAAAATCAGATAGATGCGTCCTTCGATTTACACCGTGCTAAATTGGTAACTCTTGCCAAGATCGGTAGATTTTCTTGTCCAGCGAGGATGTGCCCATCTGCATGCGTAATGTAACCTGGATATATGGTGACTCGTTAAAACGTAAAATAAGCTTAGGTATCGTTTCTATCGATGTGTCCCTTGACGTCGACCGTCGTCCTCGATCTAAATTCGCAGACCGAGCCGATGCTGAATCGCTAAACATATTCGAAACGTCACACCGTCACATCGTCACACTCTCTCTTTCTCTTCTTATCTTTCTTTATTATCTACGATTAATAATTATATTTTTAATGTATTTGCCTAATGAATTTTGGTCTTAACACTGTTTACCTATCCTATTATCTTTAATTTGCATCTCTTACATTTTCATTACTCCTATTTACGTACAATATTTATGACCTATCTTACATTCATGTTTAATTAATAAATTCTCTATTATTCTTAGGCACTATTTGCAAGTCTTGCAGTATTCTTAATTGCTATTCTTTTTATTCACCTTACCGTTATTATATGTTTTTGTCTTGTTTTACTTTTCTACAATGATACGCTTAGCGACTTATGCGATTAGTGCTATTTGTGTTTTGATGCAAGTGTCAGCTTGCATCTTCTAATTGTTCCATTCTTATTATCTAACGTTATTATCTCTCTCTCTCTCTCTCTCTCTCTCTATTTATATATATATATACATATATGTATACATTAATCTCTCTCATTGTATCATTTGACCATTATTCGAAAAAACGTGTTACTTTGTATCGATCGTGCTATTAATGTCTACCTGCATATTTTCTAACTTTACTAACTCGATGAACAATAGAAAAAAGTGAACGACACTTATGAGATACTTAAGGTTTTCGTGATTAACGGTAAACGAAACGGTACCATTGAATTGAAATGAAGGAAGAGAAAGACAAAAACTTCCATATGCCCTTCGCACGATTCTAACATGGAAAATTAATCGATTATGTGAGTCAGATATCGTTACCAGAAAAATCTCCTAATCGATGTAACAAACATAAGAAAAAAAAAAAAAACACGTGTTGTTTATGACTCATTATAGTCTCCTCAATCGTTGTAATATTTTATATGGAATAATAGGCAATGGAAAAATTTGTATTTTTAATATTCTTTCTTACAGATGGTGAATTTAAAAGATGCTATTGGGGTAAACGAGCTGACGGATAAAAAATGTGGTCTTTATCGGGCTTTATTAGCAGAATTTCTTGGTACCATGCTGTTAAATTTCTTTGGTTGTGGATCGGTCGTGACAAGTAATGTTGTTGCGATAAGTCTTGCATTTGGTTTGACCGTAACAGCCGCGATACAAGCGATAGGCCACGTTTCCGGTGGCCACGTCAATCCTGCGGTTACCTTTGGTTTAATGGTTATTGGAAAGGTATAATATATAATAAATCTGTTTATATGAGTAGAGTTTAAAAGTTACTAATGTCTAATTAACGATATCTAATCTAACTAAATTTTATATCTACCCCTTTCACATAAGATTACATTCTTATTCATAGAACGTTTATCTTAAGTAATGGTCACGGGTGACCACCATAGTACTACAGATAAAACAATCTGCGGTTACATGCTACCAACAAGGACATTGACGTTTATTTTACTGTTACGTATTGGAAAAATGCATTTCTTTAGAAAATAATGAATTAATAATGAAACGTTTCATTGTCATCGATTTGCCGTAACGCTTTAAGCAAATAATTCTGCTATTTTTACTCAAACGTAATTATCAATTAATGGAATAAAAGAACCGTCATAATTTGATCATATCACGATTGAATAAATTATCGCGTTGCTAAGGCAAAGCGGTTAACGCATAATCGCTTATTCAGAGATCTCTAATTACGCGTTGGTTACTTCATCACTGCAATCACCTGCTATTTATTTCATTTTATACATTTTCTAAACGTCGATTGAATAATTAGAAAAATACAAATGCATTCTAACTAACTGAAATAGATTTATGATTTATGTTAAAAATGATTGTCAGGTACCAATTATTCGAGGAATACTTTACGTGCTCGCTCAAAGTGCTGGAGCTATTGCTGGTTCAGCTGTACTAAGGGCACTTTCTGCCGAAAGCATGGAAGCCAGTCTTGGAGTTGTTTCTCTTGCCAAAGGTGTAACACCGGTTCAGGGTCTTGGAATAGAATTTTTCCTTGCAATGATACTGGTCCTGGTTGTCTGTGGTGCATGCGATGATGCCAAATCTGACAGTAAGGGAATAGCACCTCTACTCATTGGACTTTCTGTTACCGTTGGACACATCGTTGGTGTAAGATATTTTATTCTTCAAATGAAAAACACTACAGCCGCGTATAGATTTTATCATGTAAATCGTATATTGTCTTAGGTTCCACGAACGGGCGCTGGAATGAATCCTGCACGATCATTAGGAAGTTCGGTCGTTATGGGTGTATTTGACGATCATTGGTTATATTGGATAGGACCTATTCTCGGTGGACTTGCCGGAGGTTTGATTTATACTCATGCTGTTGGCCCAGCAAAGAAAGAAGAAATATCTACCAGGCAATACGCAACTGTAGCTTTGGAAGAGAAAGAGGTACGATCTTTACTAATAATATTCCAATATATTTACAGCCAAATAACTATTATTTGTGTCTTCTAAAGCAAAACTTATTCAATTAACGAGATATTTCGAGTATTTTTCAAGTAAATTCTTTCACGTTTTCTTTTGCTTTTTTTTTTTCATCGTTTTTATCTCGTAGAGGTTCGAGTACATAGACAGTGGAAGAGGAGGACTATAAAGAAACAACAAATCGAAATGATTCGAAGACACAAAAATGCAGGATAATTAGGTGAATGATAGAAAACTATTGTTTTGCAGCTCCAGAATCTTACCAGCAGGAAGAACGTCCACCCCGCTTGACTACTCATCGAACATCACTAATTTCAACTCTCATGCCAAGTTACTAAACTCCTTCTCTTAACTGCATGAAATAATAATCAAAAGGAATAACTTTGACAAATAACATTGATCTTCCTTACTTTACGAATGAAACATTTTTCAATACTCCGATAATTGGGCTGAATTATGTAAAAATGTAGATTTGGATATTTTTCTGCGTAACTTGACCCAATGTAAAATAAACTAATAATTTATTAAACAAATAAAAAAACACTCATGGTTAAGCCAAAGACGATTAACTCTATCATAAAAAGCTGACACTCGACGTGACAACGTTTGTTTTAATTATAATAATTTTATACTTACATAAAGAATCTCAAATGTTGCTCGGTTTCTCTTCTGCTTACTAAATGTTATCTGCATGCTATTACAGCATCGACGATAATTAAGAAAAACAAAAAATTTCATCAAATCATCCAACATAATTATATTATATCCTGCTTTAGTTTTACATTATCAACATCAAAATAATTATTTTTCCTATTTAATTATTGGTATAAAAACATTAATTATAAATGAAAAAATTCATTTTTGCTAATTATACCTTTTTTTCTCGTATTATTCGCAATACTTCATTAACGATTTATTTCCAATTATTTTATATTTCAATAAATTATCATTTAAATAAAAATAATGTATAAAAATATTGTTTTCCGAAAATATTTATAAAAGGTTTATGTATACATGATTATCATTGTTAATACGATTACGATAATAAAATGTACATGTAATAACGCAAGCTACCCTCTGCCATAGAAAATAATGAAATATATCTTATCTATATTTTGTATAAAACTGTACAATCGAATATTTCTTTCATTTATTTCATTACCAGGGTAGGAAATAAGAACAAAAAGAAATAGAAAATAATAAGACCAACAATGTTTAGCATGTACAACATAGTTTACTAAAACGTATGTCATAAATTTCGTTTTCTTTATCTGGATAGATAATTACAAATATTCTTAAAACAATTCTTAATATGTATATGCACCACCTTAGATTTCTTCATTTTTTTTCTTTTTTTTTTTTCATTAATAATCCAAAACTAATTCATTCTAATCATCTTGTATTTAGCAACACAGCTGTAAATGATATTTAACAAATCGCTAATATGCACTATGTCTTACTACTTGAAATTTTCATTTTTCTTATTTTTTTCGAGTAGGTGGGAGGAAGGGAATAGAATATTTCTGAGGAATATATTTTCTTTCATAAAAATAGGAAGAAAAATAAACCATATATAGTGTGTGAAAAAAATGAAAATATGATCATTTGATCAGTGCATTCATGTAAATAGTTTGTTTCGATTGCAAGAACGATTATAGCTGTAAAAGAATGAATGAAACGTATGAATGGACTGGATGTGTCTGTCTGTCTGTCTGTCTGTCTGTCTGTCTGTCTGTATTATGTGTCGTCAGTGTGCATGTGTGAGATAATATATCAATATACTTAATTTTTAAATGAATAATTCGACTCATAACTAAAAATACGTACATCTAGAAATTCCTTTAAGATGCACTTAGAATAGTATCGGGTTGGTTCATTGGACGAACACCTTTACTAAAATTTAACCTTCCATTTGTGAAAGCTTATCTTCAAGACTGTCTTGACTATCATTGGTATCGTTCAAATTAATAGTATCATTCTCGTGATGTAACTCAATAACCGAATCCCCTAACGTACTGTCATTTTTCTGAACGTCTAAGACGTTGTCCGATGGTTCAAAAATATCTGTAGACCCTGAAAGATCTTGGCTATCCAAGGCTAAATTAGATTCTTGATTTTCATCTTGTTCAACGATTTGTTCAGTGGATTGTTCTAAATTCGTTTTAAATTCTATCACTTGGGTATCTAAAACATCCATTGAATCAACTGCTTCAATCTTCAAGTTGTTTTCCTGCTCTTTTTCGTTAATTACCTCTTCTACCTCAGAGGGTTCCTGGTCAACCTCCATTGACGTAGATGCAACAATATGCGGTTGTTTCAATTTTTCAGTATAAATCTTTTGCGAATTTTCACCAACCGATGAAGAAATCTGTGTGAGATTAGTTAATACTGTTTCTTGAATTTTGGCTACTGTATCAGCCGAATCAAGGATGCTGCTAAGTTCACGATTCATTTCATCTACATCGGCAGTATCATCGGATGATTTTAAGACTATAATCTTTTTGTTTGTATATACTTTTGAGCTTGTCATAATGGCTTGTCTGTTTTCCTTTCTTGATGCAGAAACAGGAGTGGCAAGGACCAATGCCGTTGTAGTTGGTGTTACAGATGTTAAAGCAGGGACCGTTGACGATAGAGAAGGGACTTCAATTTGTATGCCATCCGCTGTCGTAGTTATTGTCGTGACTTGTAACTTTTGAACATTTTCATCGATCTCTTCCTTAATTTCGGATTGCTGTTGCTGTTGTTCTTGTTGATTCTCCTTTTCGGATGATACACCAAATATGATAGGCTTAACATCATCATTATATTCTTGTTCCTCGTCATAAATACTTTGTTTTCTTTTAACAAATACCCTCTTCAATGGTAATTGTTGTTCGTCTTCCGACTCGTCGTGTCGTTCTGGCAGCATCTCATCTATTGGTTCATATTCCTGTTGCTTTCGTGCTTGAAGTTCCTCGATCTTCAATCGTTGTTGTTCTACTCGTTTCTCCAATTGTTCCAATTTTTCTTTAGTCTCTTGATCACCTTTCGTCAATTCAGTCATTTTTTGTGCTATCATTGTGTTCGGTGTAGACGTTGTCAAGCTGGAAGATGCAGATGTTTTCAGTTCAAACTTAGGTGATTCCACTGATAAGGATTCATTAGTTTTCAATGTAGTCGTTGGTCGAGTATCTGCAGAAGATTGAAGTACAGTCTGTACCAATCCTGAAGCTTTATCTAATGGTTTCTTAACGATCACTCTTTTGACAACATTACCAGTAGGAAGTTTAGCTAATTCGGCTGGATCGATTATCGTACCATCAGGATTCATGATAACTTCTCTTGTGGTATCACCTTGACGAATAATTCTACGAACTATGACTCGTTTCGTAACCTTCGGTCCACCGGCACTAGCACTAGCACCAGCTCCAGCACCAGCACCAGCACCAGCACCAGCACCACTACCAGCAGGTGTCATTTGAGCCAAGACGTTCGAAACTTCTCCTTCTTTAGCTGCTGCTACTGTTGTAACTGACGACGTATCCGTAGGAGTATTAGGCTTTCTAACAACGATTCTCTTGATAACCTTCACAGTGTTAATCGATTTCGGAGTCCCACCCATCGTCGACAAATCTACTTTTTCATCCTTAGAAATGATCTGTCCTTGTGAATTCTGCGACAATGATTGAGATTTAATAGTCTGACCACTGGAAGAAGGAGTTCCGTCTTTAGTAACTTCCTGAACATTTTGATGCTTCAGAGGGATTTTATGTTCTTTAAAGACAGAAGCCACGATCTTTTGTACTTGTGCTTCCGTATCGTCGACTCGTGTCTTTTGCGTCTCGTCTTTTGATTGAGACGACGATGACGATGACGACGACGACGATGTCTTTACAGTCGACGAAGTATTGCTAGATTTAGTTTCCTGAACTTCTCTGCGTTGAACAGGCATCAACGTTTTAATCGTCTTTTTCACCATATTACCATCTTTTCCTCTGACATAAACGACTTGCTCTTTACGATCCTCTTTGTCAGCTCTCTCAGCTTCTTCTTCGCTCTCGGTAGGCTTACCTTTAGGAAGTTTCTTTATAATATAAGCTGGTGGCTCGTAATCGTCATCTCCATCGGAATATTGTTCTTCTTCCTCTTCCTCTTCTTCCGAATCCAATTCGACTTTACCCTTATTATCCGGTTGTAGACCATCCGGTCCCATTTTTTCTCCAGCCTCGATATGCTGTTTTATGTGAGTCACATAATCCGCCCGATTACGACAGGATTGCTTACAAACGTCACAAGTCAATCCCATACCTGTGCGTTTGGTGTGCGTCAAAAGATGTACCTCCAAACTTTCCTTGCGTTTAAAAGCTTTACCGCAATCCTCGCAAACGTGACGTTTCTCCACGGAATGTGAGCGCATGTGTCTGGTAAGATGATGAGACAAAAGGAAAGAACGTGGACAAAGTTTGCAAAGATACGGTCTGTGTCCTGCATGGGTTGTCAAATGACGCGCCAATTTCGTACTAGTACGGAAAGCTTCTTTGCAGTATTCGCAAACGAACGTTTTATCCTCGCTGTGCATCATTTCGTGGCGTTCCAATCCTTGCTTGTAAGAGAATCGTTTGTTACAGATATTACATTGATAGGGTTTCTCTTTCTTATGTACGGCCTCGTCGTGCTTTTGCAATTCTTCGCTCGTAAAGAATTCGACGTCGCAGTGAGTGCACGCGAAACGCAACTCTTCGCGATGGGACTTTTCGTGCCGTTGTAGCAAATTCATTCGTGAAAATTGTTTGTTGCATATTTGACAAGAGAATGGTTTCTCCTCGGAATGCGTAGCCATGTGCTTGCTCAAATCGTATTTAGAGAAAAACATACGATCGCATTCGGTACATTTGTAATTACGATCGCGATGGGCACGGTGAATGTGTAAAACAAGCGATTGTCGTAACGGAAAGGTACGTTCACATTGATCGCAAGCATGAACCCTTATCTCACCGGGTTCTAATTTGGGACGTTCCTCTTTCGAATCATTCGTTTCTTGTTCATCTTCGCTACCACCGTCTTGATCCTCTCCGTAAAAATCATGACGAGAATCACTCTTTTCCCGTTTGTCCGACTGCCTTTCGCGCTCCCTCTCCCTCTCCCTCTCCCTTTCCCTCTCCCTTTCCCCTCTTTCTCCCCTTTCCCTCTCTCTATCTCTGTCACGTTCTCTGTTTTCTCGTCTTTCTCTATCACCGTTGTCAACGCGTGGCTTTTTTACATTCTCATTTGGGGTTCTCTGTTCGGATGCTCTCTTTGTTCCACTTTCTGGTGGTTCATTGGGTATTGGTGGGAATGGTCGTGGTAAGACACCCGACAAAGGGTATGCCCTTAAAGCTTCGTCTGCTTTTTTACATTGAGATTTAAATTTGTACGAACGATCTAAATTCCATCTGCACATGTTGCATATCATCTGCGGCATCCCATCGGCAGCATAAACCTGCAAAAAACAATTCAAATAAAAGAAATGAGATAACTATAAAGAATATATTATATTTCGATGTTGGATGACAGAATTATCCAATGTCAAATTAGCCGCCACTACATATACATCCCCACCACTGTCCACGTGGCAATGTGTATCGAACGAAACGTCAGTTGTGTGACATTTCATGACATCTAGTTATCACCGCGAAAACTAACAAAAAAAGCACTGCATTATCAGAAGAGACGAGCACTATACGATAACTCTATCGGTAATCATGTTTACTCCGTTATGACACGCGACGATACGCCACTAGTGAATAAAATTGACTTTTCAGCAACGGAAGAGGGAAATCTATATTGGCGCTAATGCTAAGAGATTCTCATCAAAGAGAAATGTACGATAAACAAAATAAGGTGGAAACAATTACAAACAATAAAAAACAATAAAAAACAATAAAAAAGAATAAAAAAGAATAAAAAAGAAACAATCAAATGATACATGTTACTAGAAGCAGACCAAAAAGAAAAGATAAGAAAAAGAGATAGTGGGGAAAAGTAGAAAGTAAAAGAAGCCATAATGAAAGAACATGAATATCATAATGTTAGAAAAATACCACTTATCCTAGGATCATATGTAAAAATAAAATAATTACCTCGATGGCAACGCAGGACATGATTTGCAGGGTGAGCGGTACATGGAAAGGTTTTTTGTGATCCCTTTCATATATGAAGCTTAAAGGTTCGGTCTCGGTTAGGCAGAATCTGCATACTCGTCTCGAACGTAACGGCGTTGGTCTATTTTCCATTATTATATTATTGTTTTTTTAAGTTAGTTTAAAGTCTCGGTAGGTGTTGTAGCCTAGTTCAGTTATTGGCGCTTCGTGGCGCGTCCTTTCTCGCACGTTACTGCTGTTGTTGTTGCTGCTGCTGCTGCTGCTGCTGCTGCTGCTGCTACTACTATTGGAACTGCTGTTATGTACATTCATCGATTGCTACTTACTTTACCTATACTTATAGTTTGTTTTAGAGAATATAGTAAATTACTCACACAATAGATTCAACGTTGTCGAGTTGTAGCAGCGAAAAGCTTGTAAAACGCGCTCTCGGTGTAAGTTCGTCACCGGTCACCGCCACCTTTCACAACTACACCTACAATACTAACTACATACACACACACATACACACAACGTCATCGAGAGATACACCACTTTCCAATATAATCCTTATTCTCCCCCTTTATTTTTTTCTTCTTTTTTACTCCTTCTTTCCCTTTCTACTTCTTCTTCTTCTTCTTCTTCTTCTTCTTCTTCTTCTTCTCCTCCTCCTCCTCTTCCACCTCTTTTTCTTCTTCTTCTCCTCTTCCGTTCCACCTTTTTATTAGGTTCACGTTATTCTTGAATAATAGTTCAATATTATTAAACTGGAACTATCTTTTTCTCGGAACTAGCAACGAACCGAAGAAATGACGCCGAGCGTCGGTAAGAAGCGGGAAAAAGCGTCGCGTCTATCGCTTTTAGCACGAATTAATTGTACAACACTGCTGTAATGGCGCTACCAGAATTCTCCTTTTCGTCCAACTGGTTGGCGTCACCCGCTAAGCTTCTTCTAGTCTTTTCATGACAGCGACCTCTTTTTCCTATTTCTTTGCTTGCTCCTATGATAAGTTTCTAGCTATAACTCGTCCCGCCATCTACTTTTTTTTATCATAAAGCTATCATTTTTATTATTTTTTCTTTTAATTTTATCGAAAATCATTTCTTGCTTTTCTTGTATTCTTTCGCTACTTTTATTCTCAATCAAATTTAAATATACAATATTATTACGTTCATTTTTTTAGTCCAACTTATGGTTTAATTTTTTATGCGGTCAAACTTTCATCAACTGCCACCGTGGCAGAAACGTCGTCCAACGTGTCGCCCTCTTTCTACGAATACCATCTACATTTGTATATACACAATGCAAATCCATTTGTAGGTATATATGTAAATGATATCTGATTTTTCATTCACGATGAATGAAATAAGTATATAACGTCGATAAATTAGAAGAGCTTAATATATTGTATATTTTTTATCATCGCAGATGAATTATTTCTCCATCTTTCTTGTTAGAATCAATACCTTTCGTTGCAATGAGTACAATGACCTAATTACTGTTATTGTCATATACAACTTTTAAGAATTTGACATAGTATAATGACTATTAATCTTTTTAAAGAAATGCCTTTGACCCCGAATTTTTCAAAATATTTTCTACGAAAACTGCAGAAATGTTTGATCATTTAATTATTTGATTGTTTAATTCACGCAATACTAAAAATTTAATGGCTTTCGCGAGTTCGCAGACACCAGGGTATTATTAGAATTATATTTAATCAATAAAAATTTGGTTTCATTTCTAAAATAAAAATTTCATTTTTATGTGAATATTTTGCAGATTAAGAAAGTGTAAGAGATCGCAGAATCGTGTCCGGGACGTTGTCCTTTCAGAACAACAGGTAAACCTTTTGACATTTTCGGATATTGGAATTTCAAGGTGGATGCTGTCGTCATTTCTTTATTTTTATTTCGAACCGGACCCCAAATTTTTTACAACAACAAAAGTTGTTTACAATACTTTATTAGTATGACGTGTACCTACAACACAGCAATATAAAACATAAAATTATTATACATATATATTCATTAAATAAATTTACGTAAAATATATAGTACATATATATTTTAACTAAAAAGTTGTACGTGCTTTTCCGATTAGATGGCGACACATATTTTAGTGGTCGGTAAAATAAAGTATTAGCTAGTACCGTTAGATGACAGCACATATTTTACCTGTCGGTAATAAATTGCAGATTTCACTATATATTTTTGTTAAATGATTAAAAATTAATGCAATGTAAACATTTTTTATATGATAAAAATAAATATATCTTAACAGTATTATAATATTTGCTTCTTTCTCAAACAAGATAATTATTTTTACCTCTAAACATATTATTGTCTTGATTATTTTTTCTCACTGCAGCTGCATTCTATTCCCCTAATAATGCACATGAAATCTCTATTAAGAAAACATGAATTCATTCAAATACATACATTTTTCTTGTCAGTCGATGAACAATATCTTCCATTATCATGTACAAAACCTGGTAAAAGATTTTGTACAGGAATAGAGTTGCCAATTGTTTTCTCAATTTGTGATAAGTAACAATTAGCAAAGAGAGTAAAAAAAGAAACTAATTGGTATTTGTATGCACCTTTGGAATAAATGAAACGAGCGAGATGGTAGCATGCAGAAGAGTAACGGTTCCCCTTAGATTGTGTACGCGATCCTGCAGTGTTGTAACCTCACATAGTCCGATAAAGTGGGGGATGCATATAAAGACCCTGTTTCTCTTCGATCCGGCCCAGTAGTCTCTAGTCATCAATTTCACCGCGTTTATAGGACCGTAACTGAATTCGCGAATCGACAAAACGGTCCATAATTAAATCAAACATTTGACGCCAATTCCTTCCAGTAAGATGAAGAAGGCGTGCTTGCTGTGCCTACTCGTTTTCTTAAGTAAGTTCTGCGAATTTCACAATTTCGTCTAACCGATTTTTGCAGTTTTCATTTTCTATCCAAATACAGTCTTTCAGCTAGATTTCTTTATAAATCAGATCTTCTCTCTCAACCTTATTATTATGCAGTAATTGTACAACACAACTCGTAGATTCGAATCACTTTAAATTATTTGCAAAGAAACTTGAACATAGCTTAATAATCAGTATACGAATCAAAGATTGAGAAACCCTAATAATACCTAAACCCTGTAAATGACCCTAATGTGTCGTATACGTTTCTACTATTACATCCTTAGCATCTAAATGGTTCACGTTATCCTCTTACATTCTAATTTACTCGACTAGACGACAGTCGTTCGGATAGGCGTTCTAATCAAGAAACCTTTTGTTTCGATCCGATAGAAAGTGTGCTTTCCCTGAGCCCCGTGATATGTGCATGCACGAACGATCTACTTGAATAGAAATAGATTTCAAAGTAGCGATACAATTCAGTAACGTTTATCATATATCTTGTCTTTTCACTTACCCCGTCGTGCAACAATAAAACGTTTTATTATCACCTGACAAATAAAAACAGATGCATCGTAGAATTGATTAAAAGATTATTGACATTTAAATATGACATATTTACGAAAGTAGATAACTTTCTCACTTTCTTTCATTATACTGGCGAGATCGGGCGGCATTGGTTTCAGGGACGCAGACGTTGTATCACCTTGAAAATGATTGAACCAGTTGACCCTCTTGCCACTCAAACTGATTTTTCTTCTTCTTTATTCATTCTTATATCCACGTATTATTGCATTTGTTATTTCCAGTATAATCGTCCTTGGTGTTTTAACAATGATCGATACTTTCTCTTGGATAAAAGAACAAGAATTGTTCAGCATTAATTTACATAAATAGCAGCTTCGTGAGATCGTATAATAGGCTTGTCGATAAACATAATTATCTATCTCTGTCTAGACAATGATTGAAACACTATAACTAAACTGTAAAACTCTCTCTCCGAGTTAAATGATAATCTTTCTTTGTAGGCACTGTAAATGCCTTAACAAGAAAACAGGAGGCTGCCGAGCAAAGTCGTCGTAAAGCATCGTTGCCAACTCAAAGAAAGGAACAACTTGGTAAGGAGGAGCAAGAAAAATACGAGGACGAGGACGAGGACGAAGTTTCGGATCAATGTCCTGAGCCAAATGGTTACTTTCCCGATGCTGAACAATGTGACAAGTACTATGATTGCAGAGATGGCAAATTTACGGAGAAGCTTTGTCCCGATGGTCTCGTATTCAATGACTTTAGTCCGCAACACGAAAAATGTGATTTACCTTTTGGAATTGATTGTTCCAAGAGACCAGCACTACGTACGTCTTTCATCATCCTTCAATTATTTTTATTTAACATATTCTTATAAAAAGATATTTATTTATTGTTTCTTGGAATTATTTGTTGAAATTCGTGCAGTTCAGCTTGTTGGGATTGATTGTAATCGTTGAAACGAACAAATGTAAGAGGATGAAATGGCACTCAACGATGATACTATTTTCTCTTTTCTCATACTCAAGGTTAAGTTCGAAGAACGTGACAAGGGAATCAAACGACACGGAGAAAGGTCGACACCAAACTCGTTTCCAAAGACTGTAGAAAAAAAAAGAAATAAAAAGAAAACAGAGAAAGAGTGGAAGTAAATTCTTAACACGTCTCATATGAAATTTATTTCGGATAATTTTGCACTAAAAATAAAACAAAAAAAAAATACAAATTCTCAAGTTGCAAACAAGCAGGAATTTGAAATGATTCGAAGAATAAAAGAAGAAACTGTTAACTGTAGTGTTAGTTATAAATAATATTATGTTTCTTTGATTGCATTATAGAAAAACCTCAACCATCAGCGCATTGTCCACGCATGCATGGATATTTCGCACACGAGGATTCGAGAATCTGCGACACTTTCTATTACTGCGTCGAAGGGAAATTCAACATGATTACGTGTCCCGACGGATTAGTATTTTCCGAGAAAACTGGAATATGTAATTGGCCTGACGAAGCACAAAAAAAGGGCTGCGGATCCAGGGAATTATTTAATTTCACATGTCCGAAAGTTGACGATTCGGTTGCAGCAACTCATCCGAGATACCCAGACACCGAAGATTGTCAATATTTTTATGTATGTGTTAATGGTGAAATACCAAGAAGAAGCGGATGTAAACTTGGTCAAGCATTTGACGAACGAACTGGAAAATGCGATTGGGCTAGAAAAATTCCCGAATGGTAAGATCAATTATTATCTGCATATGCAAACAAAGAATTAATAAATTGTTGGAATTTCAGTAAGGACTGGTACAAGGATCAATTGACCGATGAACAATTAGATGCATTAGAAAATCCGCCACCAAAACCGAAACCAACTGGTGGCCCAAGTAGAAGAAAAGGAGCTCGACCATCTTAAAAGAAAAAAAAAACGAGTTTTTATAGATTCTTCAAATTTTTTACACTTGAAATTGTCATCTACAATAAATCAAATACTCTTTTCCTAGTAATTTATTGATATTCACTTTTATGCTAAATTATCATTATTTATGTTTTATTTTTAACAAATATTAAATGTTGTCGCACATTTTCTAATTAAAATTTTAAATCTCACGATAAAAAATTTACTTTACAAAAAAATGGGAAGCAGTAATTAAACGGAACACACTTTCATAACGAAGTGCGAATTATGTAGATCAATTTACATAATATTAGTAAATCTAATCTAGTCCAATTAGAGTTGATAAACGATACAAGAGGAATCATAGGAATCGTTCAAGGAAATCTATCGATAATATAATGCTTATAAATAGTTCAATATTATAATTATAAATGAATAAATTATGTAAATGATTTTCGCAATTATCTTCTTATCTGATACTTAAATTGAACACGTTTACGTAGAAATAATAAGTGTGTATAAAGGGAAACATTGTTACGTTAGAAGAATTCTACTCGAGCAAAGGTAAATAATTAGGTAGTGGGAATGAACTCCGGTGAAAGTACTTACATCTATCCGACTATGACGAAATTATCGGCTAGAAGAACGTAGTAAAAGCACAATCCTTCGAGTTATGACAGATCCGAGAGATTAACAATTTTTCAAATCCTCATTCAATATTAATTTTCATTGAAAAAATAAACTAACATGAATTTTATCGATACAATTATTTTGTGTTATTTGTTTTAAATAAATGTAAACTCGTTTGCGTGATTTTTTTTTTTTTTTTTATCTTATAGCGTTTACGATGAAACGTACTATTGAATAAAAAAAATAATTTTCGACTTCCGTAGATAATTAATTGCGGTCGCGTGTAAATTCCAATAAGCAGTGAAAGTGACTTATGTTAAATATGAGAGCAAAATGAACGTTCATCTCACATTTTGTCGAATAAAAATTTGCAAAATCTAACGACACGGATATCATAAATGTCGTTTCAATTTATATAAAAGGGGATTATTTAACAAATTCAATGATCAAAGGTTAGAATTATTCAAATACTATACTTGATTTTATTAGAAAAAATATGGTGTTAGAGAATTTTGGATTTTGGGAGAGGGTTCAACGGGAAGGAAACAAACCGACCGAGTGAGAGTAGAGTCGCGCGTGCGTGGAAAGAAGAAGAAAAGGGAATGGTAAAAGCATGCGATATCCGATTAATTTTAATTCTCGTCGGTTATCCAGCGAAAGAAAATGAAACGAAAGTGGGGAAGAAACGACGTTGGTGTAAGTGGGGATTGACAGGGTATACCCCCTCGTCGTGTAACCGAAGAGCTGCAGTACATCGCGAAAGAGAGACGCCATTCTAAGGACCGTATCAAAATACTTGTCGCAGATCTATTTGTTTTAACAATTATATTTCATTCATTCTCCAAATATCTGTCATTTATTTTCAAGCGCATTTTCACACACGAGTCCAACAAAAATAACCAACCAAAAATATGATTCGACAATTTCTTGTGACGATCCTGGCTGTTGTTGCTGTTACTCGTAAGTATTTTCCTACCTTTTATACTAAATTTCACCTTTCAATACTAGCACGATTAATCAAATTAAACATATGGCTAATTTGCATTTGCTTTTTCAATTATACTAACTTATAATTTTATTCAATAGTTCCTATCTTTGACATTTCGATCTAAATTTATTTCAATCCTAGGTAGAATTTCATTTGACAGTGATGTGACAACATGAACGAGTATTGTTTCTGATGCATTGTACCGCTATTATTAGGGTTTAGAAAGAGGACAAAAAATTAGAAATTCATATGGAATATAAAGGCGTATCGGGAAAAGGCGTATAGTTTAATGCGTGGAAGTACTGGAGACAGTCGAAACTAAACTTTCTAAAGTGTAAATGTCAGATATTTCTCGGTTCAGAGATTGCATAAGTATATGCCATGGTTATCGTCCTTATAAGCGAGTACACCTTACAATTACATAATAAAACAAAAATATAATAAATATTATCGGTATCTATGGGGAGAATTCATGACTGCGTATTGCAAAGGAGATAGGAACGGGTTCGTCAACCTCGTCGAGATTGAATGTAACTGTTTGCCAAACCACTTTTGATACCAACTTACTCTCGCTTTCGCAAACACTCTTCTAGAATAATCCTCAATGTTACACGTTTCAAACTCATTTACTTTCTTCCTGAGAAAAATTCAATTATTTGCAAAGAAAATGATCGTAAATATGATAGCAATTCAAGATAGATCAAATTCAAAAGATCATCTATATATCTAAATGTTAAATATTCTATGAACTAACCAAAAGATTATTTAATAAATTTCCAGATGGTGCGTACAATTGTCCAAACAAAGATGGTCAATACGAGGACTTGAAGCAATGTGACAAATACTACGACTGCGTCGATGGGGTTGCAACAGAAAAATTATGTCCCGATGGGCTCGTTTTCGATCCCTTAAACCGCAAAGTCAACAAGTGCGATCATGTTTTCAACGTAGATTGCGGTGATCGTCTTGAGTTGCGTAAGTTTTTTTTTTTTATCATCCTATTACACTGACTACAAAATAATAATAATTAAAAAGTACATAATAAATATATCACCAAAATCCAATACTCTTCGCAATGAAAAAAAAGGAAAAAAGGGAAAAAGAAAATGAAAATGAATTTCACTTCTCTAAGCCGACATTGAGAAATCTTATTCTAAGCCACACGAAACTCGAACTTTCGCGAGTGGAAAGGAGTTAAACGTGTCTTTGGCTTCCGTGGCACAATGTCCTTGACATACAGGATACAGTGTCAGCGGCTAATAAGCTAAGCAATGGATTTTTACGTTAGATCATTTTTTAATCAGGTTTTGATATTTGTCTACAGAACCACCACAACCAACTAAGAAATGTCCAAGAAGAAATGGTTTCTTCGCTCATCCAGATCCTTCCGTTTGCAATATATTTTACAACTGCATCGATGGAGAAGCCATTGAGATCACTTGCACAACTGGTTTACATTTCGACGAGTACAGTGGAACCTGTGTTTGGCCTGACAGCGCTGGCCGTGAGGTAAGAAAAACTAGCTTCTATAATTGTTGTAGAAAATAAATTGTAAAGAAATGCGTCGTTACGAAAGTTGTTTTTTTCCTAGGGATGCGGAGTTGTGGATAAAAAATTGAAGGACGGTTTCGAGTGTCCGAAAGAGAATCAGTTGGACAGCAGAGGTATGGCAATCGATCATCCGAAATTTGCACACCCTGACGATTGTCAAAAGTTTTACGTATGCCTGAATGGTGTAACACCGCGTGAACAAGGTTGCAGCGATGGAACTGTTTATAACGAAGAACAACAAAGGTGTGATGCACCTGAAAACGTTCCTGGATGGTACGTTCAAAGCATTACTTTTTTTCATTTCATTATCTTATATTTTTCTCTTGTTCTATTTTGATTTGTTTTTGATTTTACAGCGAGGACTGGTACAAGGACGACGACAAAAAGCCATGAGGGATTATTTGAAACTCCTATGTCCCGCATCGGGACGCCCGTACTGTCTTTTTTATTTTTAATTGCGAATTAGTTTGTAATAATAATTATAACACGTGAGATAATCTAGGCGTTTTATTTGTTTCCAAATAAATATTAATTTTTACCATAGAAAGAAAAAACACAGAAAAATGTTTATTAAATTTTTTTTCTTACTTAATATGACTTTCGTAATCTCAGATTACATGACCCGATGACTTTTCAATGTTTTAATAAATGCTGTTCCCACATTCTTCATTTATTAACATACATTATCTCGTGTAATCTTTAGAAAGCTAGATACCTGATTAGTTACAACTTTGTCTAGATAATTATGTATATGTAAGTACGTGATTCGCGACAGTTAAACTCGCTATTGAAATCTCCATTTCGAACGAATTCGAAAGGCCTTGAACACTCGTTTTCTACGATGCAGTCAGTCAACTCGACGTCGAAAACTTTCTCTCCTTTGGTTATTTTCTATTTTTCCATAACTCGGCCCACCGAGTTCGACGCTTTCTTCTTCTTTCGTCGTACCAGATATTTTCATGTTAAATTTATAGATGATTGCCATTCATTTCTTTTTATCATACTTTTTTTTTAGTTAATCAAACGAATTACAAACTATTTTAGTTAGTTTTATTCAATAAATTTCGCTGACAAAAATACAACTGTCGTAGCTGATATCAAATTTCCTTTGAATTTTGTCATTTTTACAATAATAAGGATAAGAAGAAATTTTGGAAATAATGATTTCTTTTATGCAAACGCACATATGTCCATGCCATATGGATACATTGGTGCACTTTCTCTCGATCAGAGTCAGACGTTATATATATATATATATATATATATATATATATATATATATCCCCTATTATAAAGTTCGATGGGACAAGATCGTGTAAAATATTTCGTTCCTCCTAAAAGTATGTGGTTTTTATCTAAGAGATTGCATCTGTTTTGCGGTTAAAAGTAAATCCCATCTAATTCAAATTGACTAGATTTATCCGACCGGTTTACGGTAGAAAGATCCTCAAGAATGCAAATTCTCCAGTGTAAAACAATTTACAAAAACCTTTAAGAAATGTCAAAGAGATTGTAAAGACGATATAGGAAGAATGTTAAACAGTTAAAGAAAAAAATACGATAGATGGAAAATGTCAGAAAATTGTAGACACCGAGTACGTGAAATGTGCAATAAATGCGTATCGATAATCACGCGTATTTACAACCCGGAAGAAAAGATAGAAAAATGATTTGAAAAAAGTTAGAAATAATAAAAAATAAGATGGGGAAAAGAAAATGGTAGCGATATCAGTAATATGTTACTAGTACTTGTTGTAAGCAGGGAGAAAGGGTAGTATGTGCACGTGCGTGTATATGCGAAGGAGAAGTATGCGAATAAGATGAAGGAAGAAAGAAAGAAATAAAGAAAAAGAGATAGAAGAGTTTTGGCGAAAGAGGGTAGGGAGGATCGTGAAATGCAAGGTAAGAAACCAATGGTGGAGAATGGTGGCCCGTGCCAATCAGGATCAGTTGTTTTCGATCTGCAGTCAGACTAGATCCACACGTTGCTCCGTAATTTGCGGTGAAAACTTTTGTGTTTTATACGACAAAGAGGAAGAGAGTGCACGCGAGATCAAATAGAGTGATCTACAAACGTTTATAATAGCTAAATATTTAACTATTGGGATGATCATGTCGTATAAATTAATCCTCAATCGCTCGTCACTTGTTTTAATAGTTTTTTTATTAACATTGGCCACGATTGATGCACAATTTCGTTGTCCCGAACCAAAAGGTTTCTTTCCTGATCCGGAACAGTGCGATCTTTATTATGCTTGCGTAGATGGGAAACCGGAGGAAAAGCTTTGCAAAGATGGCCTTGTATTCAGGGACGATAATCCAAAAAAGGAATTTTGCGATATACCGGCTAACGTTCCTTGCGGCGACAGAACTCTTTTGCGTAAGTTTATTCAACTTTTTTTTATTAAAACTTTATTCGAATAATTCAATTGTGCTTCAATACATGAACAAATTATACTTATACGTACTCACAATTATAGTTGAAATTTAAATAAGAATTTTAATAAATGTTATTGCCTACAAATTAAATAAAATTATTTGTTAGCAAAGACGATTATTGGTGAAATTCGAGTAAAATGAGAAGTAAAAAGAAAAAATGCAAAAAAAAAAAAATAACAACTAAATTTAGTTGTTAATAAATATACTCTGCTCCAGGTGAGGCTCGAACTCACAACCCCGGCATTGCTCACGAACACTGTCTTATAAGTACCGTGCGCTAACCAATTGCGCCACTGGAGCAGTTGTCCAAGCTTCCAAATATACACTACTAAAATTATCATTTTACTTTATTTAAGTATTTTCTACAAATTGGCAAATATTGTATTATCGAACAGAGGAACCACAACCAAGTAAAGGATGTCCAAGAGCAAACGGATATTTCAAACACGAAGATCCAACAGCGTGCGACAGGTTCGTTAATTGCATCGATGGTATACCACAGACAATGCCATGCCCACCTGGTCTAATTTACGAAGCGAAAATGTCGAGTTGCGTTTGGCCGGCGGATGCAAGTAGATTATGCGAAAATGTTAAACGTGACGTCCTTGATGATGGATTTGTTTGTCCTGACGGTGACGTGGCTGGTCCTTCAGGCCGGGTTTTACCACATCCTACTTATCCTCATCCAGAGGACTGTGCCAAGTTTTATATATGTAGAAATGGGGTTGTACCTCAAAAAGGACAATGCGACAGTGGAACCGTTTACAACGAGGAAACCTTTAGGTGTACTGACCCTGAAAATGTTCCTGGATGGTAATTACAATTTTTATTCATTTTTATAGATAAAATAGAATTCATGATAATATTCTTGTTTTTTTTACAGCGAGGATTATTTCAAGCGTAAGAATTAAGTCAGCAAGAAGTAAAGGTGCCAATTTATTAATCATAGCACTTAACTTTTAACTTGTAGATTATAATATTAAATAATAATTTTAATAAATACTTTATATGTAATATGAATGTGGTATCTTACATTAGACGATTTTTATTTATCTTCAGAGAGAAGAGAAAAAAATGAGCGTTGACCTTTCTCATTTGATTAGATCGTATCTAGTATAAATCATGATACTTTTTGTCATTTAATATGCGTATTTCGTTCGATAGAAACATTAAGTATCTTCAATCATCATGGAGATTAACTCTCGTCGAATGTCAAATGGAATAGCAAACGGATGACTCGTCTAGAATGTACATAGGTAATGAACGTCTGTTCAAAAATTACATAGATCAACGATTGAAAGATTTTGTATACGCTCGGCTAATTTCTCTTCTCTTTTCTTCTCCTCTCTTCTTTTCTCTTCTTTTCTCTTCTTTTCTCTTCTTTTCTCTTGTCTTTTATTCGACAGAATAGCAACCTTTCTCTTTACGTAATAATAAGTGATGCGCACAGCACCTTCGATATTTTACCGGCAAATTATTAACATTTCTTTAGATATTCAAGTGGTTAGAAAAAGAGTGAAAGTATGATTGCTCTTTTAGTTCGATGTCTGTTTATTTTACAATGATTTATTTCTAACGAGTTTATATTTCATCAAGAGAGAATTACAAATGATATTAATAATTAAAAGGATTCAATTATTTAAATTGCATATAAAGATTAGATCATAAAAATGTTAGCAGACGAAAAATATCGAAAAATATCGAAAAATATCGAAAAATATGACAAGTTTGAAAAAAAATCTTAGAATTGCAACAGAGCAACAATGTAAGCCAACGAAATCGAGCAAGTTGTCTTTGGCTTTCACCATTCACATCGACGAGACTTTGCTTGCCGGTCTTCGAACCACCATAGAGTCTTATGTAAGACCGTTAAAGGTCTGGGGGAGAAGAGAAAAAGACAGAAAAAGAAAAAGCAAGAACCTATGAACGTAGTACACAGCATGTACGCGGATATACCGGGCCCGCATGCGTGATTACCACCGAGTCGTTAGTTACGTTATGCGAATATTACGAGGATTATGCTAACGTATCTTCATCATTCGTATGCACAATCGGTAGACAGATAATAATAAAAAAAAAAAAAATTACAATTTTCGATGCATCGATGATACCAAAAACAGCAATGAGTCATACTCTGACGCGTTCAGAATTTTTACCAAGTTCATGAATAATTAACGGATCTTTTGAATATTCAAATGAAATTTAAATAATAATAATTGCAATAACAACAGCATTCCTTCTGTTTCCTAATTTCATCTAATTGTAAGACTACTCCTATACAAAGTAAAACTCATTGACTAAATGGTCAAAATATTAATTGAATTCTTTCGACTTGCAAATCTTCAATATGAATGTTGCATTCACAAGAGCAACAGCAACTCTGTACAAACCCATTTCGTATTCTAAGAGTGTTCACATAGCTTACTTGCCGTCAACGTTTAATCCTTTCTTCGGCACCATTCGGTAGAACGCCGAAAGCGTACGAACGCTTAAGAAATCGGTAAAAGACAGGTAGTGAAGTAAAGGTGGGGTCGTGAAACATGGTTTTCACGATTCAAGTGAAGGGAGAAGCTGGTGATCTGTCGAGGCCAATAACTGAGCGCCAATCGTCAAGCAAGCTTTGTTAGTCATAGTACAACTGGATCATACCTAAATATTACAAGATCTGGAGTATGAGTCGTTTTAAAAGTTTCATCCTATTGGCCTTTTTGGCTATTTTATCATCGTCATCATTATTATTATCCGGTGAGTCTCTTCCTTTTTAAAAAAAAGTTCACTCCTTGTACGCATTTGCAAAAGTTTGAATTGGAGATCGTCGATATTATCAAAGAACGAACGAACGAACAAACGAACGGGAGTGCGTTGACGCATCAATGATGCACACGCGCATTCGATATTCACATCTGGACGCTTCGAGCTAAAATAACTTTCCTTCTCGAATCGTCCTCGAATCGTCCTCGATCGGTTGTTTCCTTCTTTCTTTTTTCTTCTTACCATATGGCGCTACTTCTTCGCGATGCGTATACTATGACATAATAGCGATCTTGTGGTTTCATGGTTTCATTCTCTTTTTTTTCATTATTATTTTTCATTACATATATTTTGTCGTTGAAATTTGCAACGTCAATTGCAATGTCAATTGCAATGTCAATTGTTTTTTTATTTAATAATTTAATTATTTTTCCAAGTTATAATAATATTCGTATATTGAATCAAGCTGAACATTCGATCGTGAGATGAGAAAGTATACATATTACAATCTATTTTATCCTTGAGATACATATGTTGCACATGCAATTCAAATAAAATGATTTACCTAGGTGATATATATAGAGAAGCTTTGAATAAATTTATTTTATATTCTACTTCACACACACACACATTAACTCGTTGGAATTTCGTAGTTAAAGCTACAGAGCTTTTCGGTGCTCCACCATGTCCTGATCCTTATGGTGTTCATGCGTATGCTCATCCGGAGGATTGCAATAGTTTCTTTTTGTGTACCAATGGCACATTAACTCTGGAACATTGTGAAAATGGTCTCCTTTTTGACGGACATGGATCTGTATATAATCACTGCAATTATTATTGGGCTGTTAATTGTGGACACCGCAAACATGATCGTAAGTATAAATTATAATAAAATTTATATTAAATGTTGTGACATTATATTAATAATGGAAAATAATTGCTAAATTCCAGTGACACCTCTGAGTTCACCCGGTTGCGAGTATCAATTCGGACTTTACCCGGATAGCGATACCTGTAGCACTACTTATATTAAATGCGTACATGGACAACCCCTTGAAGAGCATTGTGACGCTGGGTTAGCATTCGATCCTAAAACACACACCTGTGTCTGGCCCGATCAACTTTTGCCTTATTGCAATCCGGAGGCTATTGTTGGTTTCAAGTGTCCCCATAAAGTTCCAGCACGTAGTCCGGCAGCTAAATTCTGGCCATTCCCAAGGTACTACATTCACTTATTTTATTATTATTTCTTAATGACCTAATCATTTAATCGACATTTTGAATAATGAAATATAGGCTCATATGAACAGAATCACCTTTTATATTATTTTTTGATTTTTCATTTTATTCTTTGAGAGAATTTAAAATTCAAACTTTCGATTCTTAAATTAAAATGCTTATGCAACTTTCGTAAAAAAGTTATGCGTATTATTTCGTCACGTCCATTCACTTTCTATTTATATATATATATATATATAAAATTTGTTGGTAGATTCCCAGTACCCGGTGACTGCGGCAGATTGATAACTTGCGTCGAAGGTCATCCACGTCTTTTGACTTGCGGGGATGGAAAATTATTTGACTCTGTGAGTTTGAGTTGTCTCGATCCTGATGAGCTACCACACTGGTACGTATAACTACCATCTTATTACATAACTTTTAATATTATAGTAAAAAAGAAAAAGAACTTGCAAGATTATATTAAATTTTCAGTGCTAATAGCCTATAAGTTGGTGAGTGCATAATGGAATTGAAATGTGACAACCACGAAGAATGACAACCACCAAGTCTCCAAATAATAATTACATCAAATGAACAAGAAAAAGAAAATGACAAGAAAATCAACTTTTCAACAGAAAAATCTTACATCAATGTTTTGCATTTGAAAAATACATGATAGTGTATTCTTTTTCCAAAATAAATTGTACAATTTTATTTATTCGATTAACTAATGGAAATAAAATGTATTATGCGTTATTATAACGTGACACAATTACTGCGAAATGAACAATAAATCACTATTATTATACAAAATATAAAAGTTATTAAAAAACATTATAAAGTAATTAGTTTCTAAGGATAAATTAGATAGAAGGAATGAAGGAAAGGAATATAAAAATATGATATTAATTAGGAGGTTAAAAAGAAACTAATTACAATTATAATGTTTATGGTAAGCGGTCTTTGGCTGGATTTTACTTGCAATGGAATGTATAGCATATCAAAATATGATAAACATTACATGGAAAGTAATATCCATTGCCCAGGTCTAACCACGAGGAGGTAACCGCTTCTGAAGACCCACGAGGGATGTGCATCCTAAAGATGCTCACATCCGAATATAATTCAAAGGAATGATAAACTAAAAAAATAAATTCATATGAAAATTATTTTCTTTTCAAAGTACATTAATGTGTATGTAACGTTTAAACCAATGTATATGCGTTAAAATAATCTGAAATATAATTAGAGTGTATTAGAATAATGAAATAACTGTTAAATAATCGAAAAGAATTCGTATTGTAGTTTATAAGCACTGTGTATACGTTAGGTGGACCGTCTTCCTCGAAATTCCCCTTCAAACTGATCCGTTGTTCTCTATAACAAAACTTTGATTAGAAAGTTGTTTATGATTTTTCTTATGTTGATTATTTCTGCAGCGGTAATTAAAATTCTAATAAAGAAAATTCAAGATTATAACGTTTGAATTTTAATATCCTTTTTATTCTAATGTATTTTTTTTATCGCTCATGCGCAGTGATGATTTAGAGTATTAAATTATGCTGCAATATAAGAGGAGTGTATTAGTGTATTAAAATAATTGTTAATTAATCGATAAAAGTATCGATTATTGTTTAAAAGTACGGAATATATTTTCGGAGTACTTTCTGGCACGTTGTCATCTATCAAAATTCTTTGATTACATGTTGTTTATATGATTTTCCAAACGTTGCGCATGTGTGCAACGGTAATAATAATTCTAATAAAGAAAATTTAATATTATAACGTTTGGATTTTAACATTGTTTTCATTCTAATGTAATTATTTAATTGTTCATGCACGGTGATGACTTCGAGGGTTTAATTGTCCTTTAATGTAAGTAAAATATAATAGAATATTAAAATAATTGTTAATTAATCGAGAGGAATGTGTATTGTTAAATAACAATTATGATTTTATTGGAAACTAATACACCTTAGAATAATTTCTATATATGCACATATTGTCATATACTAAAGAAAAAGTACACAAGTTCTAATTATACATTTCCTTAAAATTTGAGAGATCATTTTATTAGGTACAGGAAAATCATGGAATAAATATTAGCGGCGTCTAGAAAAAATATATAATATACAGTTTATTTAATGTAATTCTATTATACATTATCGATCAGGTTGTAATAGAAATAAAGGGCTGGGGAAAGTGGGAAGAGGGAGACTGCTTTCGAGGAAAAAAGTGATAAATGGCTAAAAGAACAAATATTTACATCTTTACCAAAAATGACTAAGGAGAGGATGATGAACAGATCTTATAAAAAACAATTAAACGAAAAACAAAAAAAATAATAATCTTAAGCATCTAGCATGATTACACTTATTTTGTTTTAATTCTAAAAGAGAAGTCTTAGTTACGAAAGGAAGATTACAAAATAAGTAGGATATACTACTTTTGGAGTACTGAATTTTGTTTGTCCTTTTTTTAACGATTTGTGAGCATCGTTTGTCCAGAATATTTGTAAATCCTATACGCGAATGGATTATTTTATTTTATTAATAACATTCAGAATTGAATAATGTCAGAATAGTAGTCAGAAAAGTCTCGTTCGAAATGCGAGATTAAGTTTTGATCGTTTCTTGACTATTCTCTGGATATTCTCTTTCTTTATTATTATTATTATTTTTTTTTTTTTTTTTGAAGGAGGAGAGTGGAAATTCGTATAAGCAAATTAATTTCTAGGACGGGGTCGAAGAGAAATCGGTAAGGCACCAGCCGGAAGTGGTGGTACACCAGGTGGTAAATTTTCTTCTTCGGGTTCTTGTTCCAATCGACCTTCTTGAAGATCTCCGTCCAAAGTTGGTTGCGTTGTTGGTACGTCACAATCCTCGGTGGGTGGTACGACGCACCTTAAAGATCGTCTATCAAAGACCAACATTGCTGGACACCTTTGCAAGCGTGGATAACCACCTTGACACTGCCAATAACGGTTGCAGGATTTTCCTAATGGAACGTTGCCATTCGCGTCGTCGTTGCATAATGCTGCAAACATTTTTTATTTATTAATTCCTAAATCATTTATTTATTGAATTGTATGAAATAAATATCAAATTTCTAAAGTTATATGTATACTCACGATGTTTTTGACAACCCTCGACGTTTTCGGGCCAATCGCAAGAGCGTGCTCTTTCGTTGTAAAGTAGTCCACCTATACATAATTGTTCAGTTGCAGTTCCATTCCAACAGGTCCAATATCTCGTACAGGATGTCTCATGGCCGAATATTCCGTAAAGCCAATCGCAGTGTTCAGCTGATATTGGTGGATTAGCTTGACGTTTACCATCGCAATAATTAGCTCTCCAAGGATAATCGCAACCCTCGGTAACACCTCTGTGTTTACCAGCGAAAACTAAACCATTTGGACAATCAAATAATTCTGGCCTTCCGTTAACGCATTCCCAATAACGATCGCAATATTCGACATCTCCTACTACTCTTGATTTTGTCTGACAAGGATCTTCCTGGTGTTGTTTTTGACCATACGATTCTGAAACAGTGAATGATGTTGTTGTATTAGTAAACGCCTTTGCGAAACTATTAAAACGTCATCGTGATTATATTGGTTAAACTTGTCAAGGATAAAATGTGTTAAAAAGATGGCACACATTTGAAATGAATCATCATCAAGGAAAACAAGTGTGTCTTTTTCGAATGAAATATTTTCACACGTATATCACGTTTTGGGTTGTTTACTTTCTATGCTATTATCCGTTCGAAGGTTGCAAAATGGGTGCATAAATTTATTCATTACACATCCTCGTTGTCGTGGTTGTCCATGACATTATAAATGCCACATATTCATGAGTTAGTTCCACGAAGTTATTTCAATTTACAAATTTGTGTTTATGGTGTTTGTCGATTACTTTTTTTTTTTGTCCGTGTACTGAAACAGTTTAAATATTTGACTAACATTATGTAAATTGCAAATTTTTTCTTTAATTCCAATCACCTATACTTCCTTAAACGAGCAGAGAAAATTTATGTAATGCATTTCTCTTAAATAATATAATACAAACGAAAAATGATCCAGCCATTCACGTTTTCCAACTAAATTTGTATGCGTGTTTATTAGTGTGGGATAGAAAAAGAAAATAATGAAAAAAAACTAGTTAGACTTAGCGGTGAAAGTGTAACAAGTTTTGTCGCTAAATGTTACTAGGAAAAGTTAAAAAAGCAATCGTAGAACAAACCGAAATGCCAAAGCGCATATTTATATGCAGAGAGAGAGAGAGAGAGAGAGAGAAAGAGAGAAAATACTTTTTAAAGAATCGATCGTATGAGCTAGCATTCTCGTCTGATACATTTAATAATGGCATTAAACTTTTACATTCTTATTGTGGTAATAAGACGAACGCTTTCTCCGAACGTGCTCATTTCCTTCCGACGTTAACTTACTTCAATACGTTAAAAGAAAGTTGGATTGCCTTATTTATTAAATGTACAAATTTCAATTGAAGATAAAATTTGAAATAGAATGAATAGAAATCTTCAGATTAAATTGATTTCATTTTAGATCGTTGAAAACTGTTAGTTTCCTTCCTATAATTTGTATTGACTAATCAATAAAATCAATGATAGCAAAGTTGTCATGCAAATAGCCACTGTTAAGGAAGTTACCGAGAATATTCCGGAGGATTAATATAATTCGATCGATGCGGCATTTTGCCGGTCGTGCAAAAGTATGTAAATAGTAAGTTAAGGTGGGAAATCGGCCAGTATCTCGCTCCCAAGAGTAGATACGAGTGAAAGTGCCTAGCCTTGACTCGCAACCTTCGTGGCAAACCTCGTCTTGTCTCGCCTCTCCCATCTTCCAACTCTTTTCAAGATTCGATCTGATGCCATTTTAAATGATATCTTTTCTCTATTACGATGATGTTCTCAGTCAAATATTTCTCTTATATTATCTAAGGCTGGCATTGCACATGCATCGGAAGTTCATTGTACTTGAAAATGTATACGCATGTACTCGCTATAAGTAATAAAAAAAGTGCACGAACACGAATAACATCATTACGGTCAATGACGATTCTATGTAATTCAAATTCTACCTTCTTCATGATACTTTTGCAAGAGAAAGAGGAAAAAAGAAATAGACAGAAAACGTAAAAGGCATTTTACGTCGAGTAGTTGCTTAACAAGAATTGCGCGAACTTATACACAAATATTTCTAAACATGCTTTATACATTTATGTTTTAATTACGGTATTCAAATTGCAGAATATTCCGAATAAAAACTATCAAGTCAAAATTTTCAAGTATTCTAGATTAACTAGACTACATTTAGCAAAGTAATAATAATCGTTGTAGTTAATAAAATTAACTAAATTATTGAATATAAAATAATGAATTATTATTGAGATAGAATGACACCGACAAATAGGAGGAGATATCAATGAGTGGGTAAGAAGTATCTTATGTAAGGGACGACGCACAGTAAACGGTGCCGACGTTCTGTAAGCGAAGGCTTACTTTCCCTTCTTTTACAACTCCTTGTAAAGAGTGAACAGAAGTGTGGGTTAGATGGCTCCACCGTTGGCAAACTTATTTATACGTCCCACTAATTAATAAATATTTACAATTATTTATTATCTTTGATAAAATAAAACTGCACATTTTTTCACAATGAAAATTATATAATTTACGATAATTTCATTTATTCTTTCATTTATAATTTAAAGTTGGAATCATATTAGTTATTTTTTAATCATGTTTTATAATAATAATCTGAATGACTGATATTTCCTGTATTTTGATCATACTTCTAAAGAATCAAATTCATATATTATACATAATTACGTACTAGCTGCTACTATACATAACACACCACGTTTACTTCCGCGAGAAATATTTTCTATACATGTACATATACATATGTATACGTGTTTGTATATATATATATGGAAAACTTGTAAGAAAGTAGTGATCTTTTATTACAACAAAAAATCTAGTTAATTCTTTATTTAATTATTTTCAATCGACTATGTAACGGGAGTTAACGGTGCAGTAAAATTTCAAATATACGTGGGAAAAAGAATAATGACCGGTTTTGATTGAACTAGGTAGAAATTACTTAATGCTATGCCATTCTAGTTTCCGGACTAGACATAGCTATACCAACCTGACGAGAATTTTAATGATAGATTACGTTAATAGGTGTACTTCGATGGACTATTGATCGTTCATTTGTTTTATCTATGGAAAAAGTAATATTATTTTCTTACTTACTTGAATTTTTTATCGTCATTAATAACATTCATAAATATGACAAGTACGAATGTATATTTAATATTTTTTATTCTTCATATTTTCTTATATAAATCTTAAAGAGTATTTTATTCATTTAATTTCTTTTTTAATATATTCAAATTATTAATAGCAATGTTAGACTAAGATATGAAAGAATTTAAATGACGTCTTTAAAGAATTGTCATTAAAACATGGTCGGTAAAACATCTTGGTAGAATCTTGATAACGATTAAGCAATCTTAACGCCTCTCTACTGCAAATTATTCGACCTACTTGCGTTTATTTGACAAAACTCTTACAATTCTTCATAATTCTACATTAATTTCTCTCTTAAAATATCTCGACTACGAAAATGAAAGAGACACACAGGATAGGACGTTGGGCAACACGTGTAATAATTTTTTCAATTGGATTGAACATTCACGGAAGGAAAGGAAACCAGTACGGAAACGATCGAATGAATATTTTCCATGATACATTCTGGTATGCATCTACGTAAGGCAGAACAAGTAATGCGACTTCAACTAATTTCTATAATGAAAAACTTTACTTGACGGTAGAAAGTAGAATCTCTTACGTAACGTCACTACTGCAAATCGAACGTGCGACAAATAGCCTGAAGGAAAAACGAGAATCTTAAAACACACCTATCCTTCCATTTAACTGTCCTCCTTATCAGATAGAAGCAATTCATTAAATATTCAAAAGTATGACGACAAAATGTGTAATCAAAGAAATACCAAAATATTATAATTATCAGATCTTGTTATTTTTAACATCAAATTAATGAATTAAAAAGAACATTTGTTCAATATTAAATGTAATATTAATAAATGTAATGGAAGTGAAAAAGAGAAAAAAATAAATTGAAGGAAGTAAAAGAGAAAGGATTGGAAAAAGAAAGAAAAAGAAAGAGACCGAAAGAAATAAAGAGAAAGAGGAGGGAGGAAGGGATTTAGAGGGGAAGTGGTGGAGTTAAACAGTCGATAAGCTACTTTCATATTTTCACTCACAAGATGCCAGAGAAAGTTCTTGAGATGTGTGAAATCTTTAGTGAATAGTTATCATTGTTTAACGAAGATGCATATAATCAATAAAATATCTACGAATAATCTTAACTTTTAATTCATAATATAACTCCCAAAATTCCCTATAAAAAAATCTTAACTTAGATTATAGAATTTTTATAGAAACCATGTAAATGTTATATAGAAAAAAGAATGTAGGAATCATTAGCAAGATTATTAGAAATTGAAGGGAAAGAAGGTAGGAAGGAAGGAAGGAAGGAAGGAAGGAAGGAAGGCAGAGAATAAAAAGAAAACTAAAGACGGTCATTAACACTCACCGTGTACGATGAGGGCAATCAGAAGAAGAAAAGTAACTCGTGTCGTTGCCATTCTGTTGGTATGTATGTGTTTTCGAGATAAAAAGGGTTGTGGAACTACCAACAACGATGAAACTTGACGTTACTGAGTATTTGAGTTTCTTTACTCTGCTGGGGCCATCAACTTGGAGTATAATAATAATGAATATTCAAAGAGTAATTACTAATATATATATAATAATTATAATATATATAGGGTTTAAAGTTTAAAAGCGCCGAAGAAGCTCGGCCGATGAGTTTTCGTGTCGAGCCTGATCACTGGCAGAGGCGTTTGGCTTCGTGTCTTATATGAGCGCCCCACTCTTTCACTAGTCCGATCTCTGTGCCATAGGAAGGCTTAACTGGAGAACACACACACCTGGTTTTCTTCTATCGCGAGGCCTTTGCTTCGTTTCATGATTCGTTTCATGATTCGTTATACCTAATGCTTCTAATGCATCTTAACGTACCTTTTCATTTCTTTATTATCTGATTAATTATAATATTAACGATGCTTAGATATGCGTTCTCATTTTTTTGTTTTCAGAGCAAAAGAAATTCCTTTTTATTTATTTTTTATTTTCCCTTATTTATTTCTGCGTAATATAAAGAAATTGATTTGCTTCAGTGTTTCTCCTTACATTTGAATTGAAACTTTTGATATATGTATGTGTATAAAATGTATATAAATATCTGAAATGAGATTTCGATGTGTTGGTTACTTACATATACTGTAAATCGATGACAACTCTATAACCTTCTTGCACGTGCACGTAACGGAGAGACGACAAATATGACACATCATTTCCTTTAGGACCATTCTAAGAATTCGGTAACTACTTTACTATACCTATCCACATCTTCTTTTCTTTTTTCAATTGGACTTTTAGCAAACATAACTGTTTACATGAAGTTTTCTCTATTTGCTCATAACTCATGCATACATGAATCGAAATTATAAGAAAGTTTAGATATTTTGATAATCTTTAAGATACGATTTATGTTTTTTTTTTTTTTAATGATTCTTAGTATTGCGGATACTTCCTTCAGATTTTGTAGTTTGATCGTTTTTAATGGCCTTCTAGATTCCTTCAAAGAATTCTTTTTATAGAGTTGCGTGTCACTACACGCGCAATAGGTCGGTGAAAACAACGTTGAAGTATTCTCAAGTATAGTTGGATGAGATTTCCCGCGAGTCAGCTTCTCTCTTTTTGTAAATCTCACTAAAGCTAGGAAATTTTTATATATATAGACTGGGTAAGCCAGTTATAGTCAGAACATTTTAATTATTCATTTGAATTCTTATGAATTTATAAATGTCGTTAATTGAAATTTAACTTGTGTAAAATAAAAATAAAAATAAAAAGAAAAAGTAAGTAAGTAATTAAGGACATAGCAACACGTTAAAAAGAACGACGAACTTCCGTGACTCTAAAGAAAATCTGTTCAAGATCTTAGCTTTATTTTCTTATGCAAGCAAGCAAGAATGAGAGACACAGTGGCTCGTTACTCGAAAAGATTATTTCAGTGATGCTCGGTGAGAATGGTCACAAGAGAAAAGGTAAAAGATGTATATAAGTATCTAGATGTAGAGATACAGAGTGTCCAAAAAGTTTTGGACCAAACTTATACTACGTATTACCGAGATTAACTGTGAATATTTATATATATTTCCAATAAAGTATTTTCGGATACAAAAGTTTGTACAAACTTTTTTCATCTATTTGACTTCAATAATACGTAGTATAAATTTTATGAAACAACCTTTTGGAACATCCTGTATATTCATTTATATAGGTGTCTGTGTATATATATATATATATATATAGAAGAATGAAACAATGGCACCTAGTTACGAAACTCTCTCGTCATAAGTATGCCGATTTTCATCTAATCCCATCCCTCGTAATTCCAAGTTATTCGCTTCTAATCTTAACATCTGTATTCTTAGTCTCAATGATCATACTAGTACGGTAATTATACATCAAGGAAAATAGTATTCTTGTATTGATTACAAAATGAACAATTAATCAAAATTATTTATCTGATTATCTATAGTTATTAATTATAGTATTTTCATATTTTTCTGGCAGATAACTTTAAGATTACATAATTATCGTAATACTAATTTAATCAAGCAAACTAGTAAATTTGGATACTAAATATGAGAAAGATTTGTTTCATTTTTGTATAATGTATAATACGAAGAAACTTTTGACTCGATCTAATAATAACTCGCCTTTACGTAGGCAACCAATTTTACACCTGGCATAAAGTGGTTGTATTACTTGTGAAAATATACCGACGGATATGGATTACGTATTACAAATTGGATAAGTTTTACTAATTACAGATATACATAAGTATTACTTCCATTTATTTCATGTAAATATAAACAAAATCTTGATGTAACCTTTTAAAAACCATGATAATGCCAACCATAATTTGCACCTCTCTGCATGATAGGCTCTGATCATAGAAAAACTGCTCTTCTTTTATATATGCAAAATAAAAATCTTATATATTAAAAATCTTATATAAGACTTAGTTTTAATCAAACAAAATTCGTAATCGTAAACGAAAGAACTTGTTCCTCTTAATCTTAGAATATCAAGCCTCCTCGTATTTTTCGAACCTTTCGAACCTTTCGATTTAACGACTCAAGATAGGGGAAATACCATGAAAGAAGTTCGTAAAAAATGTTCGGAAGAATCTACGTTCATGCTAAAATAGCCGAATAAAACGAAGTTACCCGCTCGAAAGGTGATTCAATTTCGGAATCAAGATTGCACTGTAAATTAAGTGTTGTAACTTTCTTATCAGTGACAACACGTATCGAAATCTTTAACAAGCGTTCTCATTTTTAAACGATCATTTTCAATTAACAACAAATACTGATCCAAAGAAAGTCTGCTGATAAAACGAGACTATTTTTCCAATTTCTACCTCACATTTTTACTCAAAAACAGGTATAAATGTGTATTAAACAGTGTAAAAACACGTATGAATATAAAATAATTAGACGATTATATGTGGAAAAATGATAAGATAAGATTGTAATTTTTTTGGTTGGTTTTTTTTTCATATAATTACAGTCAAAAGTATAGAATAAATTTGAGAGCCTCTGAGGGAGTCGAGATGAAGAAAGTGTTTCGAGTCGGTGTGCTGCTATGACCCGGAGAGCAAGGACCTCTGGTCCTTGACGCGCTTAAGCATTCTTTTATTTTCTTATTTCGTTTGATTTCTTTTTTCTTATGTTAACTGCTTGACCTTCCCTGCGGTAACTCCCATCCTATTCGTCCTTTGGCGCCTTTTTAATTGTTTTATCATCCTCTTTTTCTATCTCCCTTCAATCCCGAACCTTCTTCACCGAAATGGACACGCTTCATTAGTGCGAATCCACCATACAACAACCTTCTACCATTCTATCTTTCTAAATAAAACAAAAACGATTAACAAGAATAATATAATATATAGCTACGATTTATCATTCATTCATTTTACATGCGATTTTTAAATTTATCTGATACACAAATCGTAGGTGTAGCTTTTCCAAATGAAATCATTTGAGAAAAGTTGTTATTCAATTGAATAAATTATATTAACATGAATTCTTACAGAGAAATATATTTTTTTTTGTAAATTATTTCTAACAAACGAATACTGAAATATTTATCTTCTGAATGTATTCGTATGCATACGTCATAGCAGGAAGAAATATGCATTAATTGCAAAAGGAAGAACCTGCAATCTGCTTACTCATCGAATCAAATTAGCTACCAGAAATCACGCGCATGCATACACAAACACATATATCATAATATTATTTCATTCAAAATGTTTCATTTACATTTCATTCAAAAAGTCAAGTTGAACGACAATACGACTTTAGTATGAAGGATAAAAAGAATTTGAAAGCTTTTAAGAAGACAATTTTTATCGAACAAATGTGCACATTAGCAGGGAAATTTTTGGAAAGAAAACAAGAAGAAGGAAAAAATTCATGGAATAACTTGGAAGAGTATTCGATTATCCACTTTGTCAGAATGTAGGCAAGAAGATTGAAACGTTCACCGTAGGTGCTCGCTTACAGCATGGGTGGTGAATATACGTTAGGGTTAAAGTAAATTATGCTTGCATACAAAGCGCATCGACTGCAAAGCTATCAAGCTTCGTATTTGGTCCTAAGTGGCGTATCGTGTACATGCTCAATTTTATTGTATGATGCGGAACGACACGCCAAGTAATTTCTTATCAGCACCCTCTGTCAACTACAATAACAAAATACCAAAGGGTACCATTTATTTTCTACGCTAACCTAATCCAAATATATTACATGAATATTTTGTATGTTTCAATGAAATATTTATAAATGATTTCAGATATTTTTTCTAATCCGAAATTTCTAACAACACTTTACAGTTGTGTTTTGATTTAAACGAAAAGATGGGTACAACTGCGGCTGTATCGACGACGACGACGACGACGGTGGTGAAAAAAGGAGCAAGAGTGAGCAAGAGTTAAGGGGCGTGGTTTAAGATGAGAGCAAAAAGAATCTAGTAGAACATGGTTAAGGATGACAAAGACGAAGATCGTGTGATCCCCGGTGGAACAGCTATAAAAGGATTTTGAATATTAATACGAATAACTTAGACAAGATTAAACTTCGGATTAGAATATCATGTGTCACTTATAAATCTGTCATTGGTTTCTAACATATTTCATTGTAATATAACTAATTTTTATTCTTAAATGATAAATTATTTTCTTTCATTCTTAGAATGCATAAGTTGATTTTTATAAATTTTAGAAGAAATATCTTCAGCGTTATTTTCATAATAAATTTAATATATTCCATCATACTTTTGTATTCTCAAGTATAACCTTTTTTTACAAATCATCTTTAAAGCTATTATTTAAATAACATTTGACTGATATTTTTACTCAAATAGAATATGTTAATATCTTGATTGTTATGCAAAGAAAAAGAAAAAGAAAAAGAACACGGAGAATATATAATCCGTATATGCAACATATGTATATCAAATAAATATCTCGCGTATCTTTGCATAAGTTAAAATCGATGGAGATTATTCGAGTCACGTTTACGATTCTGAAATGTCTCTCCTCGACTCTTTGCGATTACGTAGTGCACGTAAGAGGAACACCGGACAGACGTGGTTGAACTGTTTTCGAAGAGCGGTCATTGTCTTCTTCTTTACAGAAGAAAATTCAAGGTGAATACGCTCGTTTGAGTCAGCAGTAATTTATACGCATTCGTAATCCTCTCTCTTGATTAGAAAAAGAGACAACGAGAGAGAAAGAGAGAGAGAGAGAGAAACATTTTTCTTTCTTACATTTGAATCTCAAACTGAGATCCAAAGGTTGTAATTTATTCAAACAATAAATGTTCTAAAGTAACCGGTTATTATTTTATAATGAAACTTTTCTAATGATATATGCATCACATGCAAATCATTGTAATTATTTTTTCAACAACGATTCAATTTATTGTCTCACTTTGAAATAAGATCAAAGACAAATAAAATATATAAAAGTTAACGTAAATTATCCTGACAGGATTTACGTGAGCGAGATAAAAAGTGATACGGAAATCAAACCGATTCGATAATAAATATTTAAAACCACACTGTCTTCTGAAAGTTCACGAAATTACTATACGTTACCGTTAGTAACGTTATTGGTCGATATATATTTGTTGTTGTTTTTTTTTTTTTTTTTTATTACAACGATTTTTTTCTTACTTTCTGAACTTTTTGTCAGTGTTTGTGGGTGGAATATTAAAAGTTACAGTAACGTGCTATTAAAAAAATTTGCGAGTGCATGCAAAGGAACAAAGTCATTTTCTGAGATAAATTTGGAAATTTTCTCTTGGATAATTTTGCAGTTTTTTCGTTTGAAAAGATAATATAAAAAAGGAAGGAACGAATTGTAAAGAGATTACGTGAAAAGGCAAATTCCCTTTTTTATTATTTAACTTGTCTCTCTGAAAGGACTTCTTATGTATCCGGTTGTTCTTACGTATAAGAAGCACCAAATCGAGAGCCAGATAATAAATAGGACGATGAGCCTTTCGCAGACTCACCGGTCTCTCACTTTTTCCTTCTACCAGAGTGAGAAAAAAGGATATAAAAAGGAAAGAAGAAGAAGAAGAAAAAAAAAGAAAAGTTGTAACTTCCTTTATTGAAGTGGATTTTAGTCCTGGCTCGTTGTGGTCACAGGAATATCAAGGATGCATTTAGGAAACGAGTCCCTTAGTAAGAAAGCATACTCTTCAGAGTGCATCTACCTCTGCATACCGGCATTTTTTCAATTCTTACAGGTGGTACCGGTCTACCAAATTCCCTCTTTCCTTTCTTACTCTTCTTGGTATTTCCAAATACATTAACCCACGGATTCATGTGGGAGGATTTGCAATATGATTCTCCAACAAAACGCATTCCTATTTTTATCCATTCCAATGATGCATACCAAAAATTACCTAATTCGTTCTTCAAACTTATCCTGTTCAAATTAACCAATAGTTTAGGTGTATTTTAATGTAATTAAATGATTAATTGTTTAACAATCCTATGCTAAAAACTAAATCTTTGATTTATCAAATAAATTATAAACCTGATGTAAAAAAAGAAATGGAATAAAAAGTAAAAACTGGACGTGTTTTGTTACAAGAGATTTAAGGATTTGAATGAAAAAAAAAAAAAATAATAAGGAAATTTGAAAGAATGAAGGAAACATGGGAGGGGGAGGGTGGTGGAGTAAAATTTAGCATTGACTTTAATGTCGTCTGGTTTTTTAAGAAAGATCTACGAGCAATGGCAGAATATAGGAGAGGCGGAGTATGCCTCGAGTTCGCGCGAACTTGTGGGGTCCTACGGCCATGTAATTGGGATCCTGTGGCTCCTGGCAAAACTCGATAGTGGGGGATGCCCTATGTAAGCCCTCGAACGGCCGAGGTCCAGCCCATCCAGCATCAGGACATCGTACCAAGGTCTTGGACAGTACCATTTGCAACCGATCATTCATCCACTGTACTCCCAAATTTCATTTTGTGCGGTTTAACTTACAATTAGAGAGAGATTTCATTGGTTTTTACGAAATAAGCAAAAATAAAAGATAGAACGATGAAACTAGGATTGTTAATAGTTTCATTTTTCGTGGGGGTTAGTATTGCTACGAGAAGAAGCAGATCAACAACTGGAGTGACTGCTGGAGTAACATCCACCACTGCGAAAAATGGGGAATTAAGTTACGTTGAATCGAACGAAGGTATGTCCTTGTTTATTAGAATATCGTGTTACATGCACACGTAGGGATTATTTACACCGTTCTACGCTGCATTTATTTCCTTTTTTTCTTCTGAGTTAAATAAAAATGACATGAAGCAAATGAAATCATTGGAAATTTTTCACTGGATTCAATTTGTTATTACATATAAATGTTAATAAATTTTGTAGAACACTCGTGGGATAGTATAAAACTTCAAAAATTAGATGCGCGAACAAACGCATGGTCGAAAAATAATGAAAACTCTTCGGACGACAATATCGAAATTGTAAATGACGAAAACAGTGGTATACCCGAAGGAAAATCATACGGCGAGATACCAAATCCAATTTCAATACCAAAACCAAATCCAGTTTTGCCGACTTACAAGCCATCACCTCTTCCACCATTGCCACCGGGTTGTTTAACGTCGAGAGGACAATTTTCAAGTCCAAAAAGTTGTGCTAATTATTTGAATTGTTGGGACGATGCTGTGGTCGAACAAACATGTCCCAATGGATTGCTTTTCAATGATTTTTCTAATGTTTGCGACTTTGATTACAACGTTAATTGCGGAAGCAGACCCCTTCCAACACCGAGTAAGTTCTAATCAAATAAAAATAAATCAAGAAAAACAATAGAGTATAATACGAGTTGAACTTTTGCGCGTACAGAACCACCACTACCGCCAAGTTCAAAGTTTTGTCCAACGCCGTACGGACATTACCGTAGCTCAACGAACTGCTCAGAATTCTACGTTTGTCTGGCCAGTAAACCCATCAAATTCGGTTGTCCTCAAGGATTGGTCTACAATGACGTAAGCATTCAATCTCGAGACATTTCTTTTTCCATGTAAAACCGAACGAATATGAAATGAGAGTATTGTGAGAACTGTCCGGTTCTTTTAACATTTTCAACATACTATTTCTACTACTTTCATTTAAAAAGTTAATCACATCCTGTAGTGTTGCAAATATCTCCTCTTTTAGGAATTAGGCGTTTGTGATTATGTTCGTAACGTCGACTGTAAAGGTAGTGCCACACCGAAACCGCAACCATCAACAACTCAATCTTGGTCAACAGCTTCCCCAGTTTCTTCTCAGAATCCTTCTTATCCTTCTTATCCTTCAAATCCTTCGCAATCTCCCTATCCAACGCAACAACCTTCCTACGTTCCGCAGCAACCTACAAGACCACCAAGTCCTTATCTTGCAACTTCTTGGGGAAGTAACGTCAACGTAGAATCATGGCAACAACGATCTAACCAACAAGACGTACAAAAAGAAGAAGATAAAGAGATAGTCACTTCGAAACCAGAAACGTTACAGGAATCACCGGAATCGAGTATAACGAATCCATGGACCGTTCTTCATACCATACCAGCATCTATGAGCAAAGTTCCATGCACGGATGGTGATCTGCATAAACTCGATGATGCTTGCACCAGCGTAATCGTTTGTAGGCTTGGTCGACCACAATTAGTACGATGCACGACGGGGATGATTTATGATAGACCAACGGACTCCTGCAAACCCTTTGTCATTGCAAAATGGTATGTAATCAACAACTATATTGGCAAGCACAACAATTTTTATACTAATAATATTTTTTGTGTGTTCCAGTTAACTAACAAAAGGACTCGAAACTTAATATTCGTGAAAGGATCCTTCAATGCAATGATACAATCATTTTCAATTTTCATCTTTCTAAGCTTGTAAACATTCGTAAGCATAATTAATAGAAAATAGAATGATAGATTTAATACAAAATAGCTCATTAACTTTATACTTTGTAGAACTAAAAAAAAAAAAAAAACGAACACAATTTAGATTTAATTCGTCGTAAGATAAATTTGATGAAATAATGAAATGCTTAGTGTTAGAAAATAATATTGCATGTTCGTTTAACAAGTAGCAGGTATTTGATAATAAAATCATAAATACATTTAAGTACTCATAAGAAATAACAACTTGTAATGATTATTTTATCTGAATCTTCATGTTTTATATAATTTACGAAGCATTCGCCTAATTATCTCGTTAAATCTGCCAATGACCACCTGGAAGATAAGTGAATCTTCTTCGTGAAAGAAATCACCTTCGTCGGTAAATTCTCAGATGGTAACTTTAAGCACGAGTTGACTCCAACAACATGCCACCAGAGTGCAATTGCATTCCCTTTTTTCTTTAGCGCTTTCTTCAAAGTGAGTTTCAAAAGCCTAGTTTTCTAATTCTATTGATTTTTAAAATAAATCGCCAGATCATTAGCAATAAACCGGATAGAAAATACCAGAAATAGAAAGGTGTAAGTAAATTTAAACTCGTCGCTTTACGATGTAATTGATAACAACTAATACTATGTATGTATTACAATATTATAATTATCAATAAGTATATAATACTACAATTCTTAATAGAGAGTTTATATTTTAATATAATACAAATATATAATTTGTATTTTAATTTAATCTCAATCGACAAAAAAATCCTTTCTTGTCTAAAAAGGATGAATCATGGATTCAAGTATCGTACGAGTGATTTCAAATGTTACAATGATACGATCAAAATAATAAAATGAAAAACACTTGAAAAAAGAATTATTCAGACACGAACCTTCACTCGACCTTGATAGTAAAAATTAATTTCTTCCGCTACGCAGTATTTCTACACAGATATTCAAGAATCGTGCGTATAATTAGAAATGTTTAACATACCCTTCAAAAAACAAACCGACAAACAGGTAAAAAACTACAAAGAGAAAGATGTTGTTTAATCGAACAGAACACTTCTATTTCTAGCTAAAGAAGTGACGTCACTATCAGGTAGTACAAATTCTTGAACCAACTCAATAGTTCGAACACTGAAAACAGGAATCAGGACAGGTTTTTTCATTGAAAAATTCACTAAATGCATATCCGTTAAACAAAATGGCAACGACCAAGAAAGCGAGTGTCTTAAAAATACAAATTCGTCAAGATTTCAAATAATATTATTATTATTATATGAAATGAAAAAAAAAGCAAATAAATTCAAAATGAAACTGGACGATCAAAATTGAGCTTTTACTTTGAAAGTTTCAATGACTTTATTATTATTGGCAATTGCCACGATGATTATTGTCGTAACATGTAGGTTCGTTCGATAAGTAAGGTAACATGTAGGTAATCTGTATTCCAGGTACATCAACGTAAATCACGACAGTAACACGAGGCATTGAGAAATATGAAGTATACTCGCCATCTAAACCATTCTACATAGAAACATACGATGCGTGGGTAAAAGTACTATCACTGTAGTGATACTTACACTTATATCGCGAACACGTGTAAGTTACATTTCATGTAAAAGTATCTGTTCTTGATCAGGACCGTATTCAGATGTTTTAGCTTTCTCTTTTTCACAGAATTATTCTAAACACAAGTGATTGATGACTCGTCCTGAACTGAAGCTTCAACAACAAAATTTCAACAAATTCTGAAAAAAAACGCTTTCTTCTTTATTATACTATTGTAAGATTAAATCAGAAAGAAAGTGAAAACCTGAGAAGAATCGATTAACAAACGAGGTATGTAAGTAAGTAAGTAAGTAAGTAAGTAAGTAAGTAAGTAAGTAAGTAAAAAGATTAGGTAAGTTAAGTTGAATACTTATGAGAAGGAACGATATACGCCGCCATGAACAGCGTGAGACCGCGAACGGCCTCGACCTTTCGTAGAAATCTTTACCTCTCGGCGAACGTTCGATTCTAAGATTAGGTACGAATCGAAAGATCGATCGCGTGTGTGATTCGAATGAACCAACTAACTGCTTACGTGGAATAAATCCAATCGAATCGATTCACTTTAAACGAATAATTTACAAGGAAACTATTTTTAATTGGACAGATTTAAAGATTCCGATCTACAAATAAACAAACAACAAGTACAAAAGCAACCAATGAAACTTTTGTTTTTCAATAATCCTGATAATCTATTTGTAAAGTGGATCAAACATATTAGCAAAAAAAAAAAAAACATTTTGTATAAAATAAAGAAATAGAAATAGAAAGAGAGAGTAAAAACAACTGTAGTTGAAATAAGTAGCGAGACCCTGATTACGAAATATTCGTATAGAGAAGACGACGTCGTTTACGGTGAAGAAGAATCTCCTTTCTCTCTTCCTAATGACCGGTAAAGGACGTTGTCCTTTTGACGAAGAAGTTGCGTCGTTGCGTCGCCGAATGTTGCATCTGAAAGTGAAGATTTATCTTGGAGTTGTTAGCACTTCTCGTCGTCTCCCTTGATGACATTCGCTTGTTACATCAGAGTCCTGGTTTTTATAATTCAAGTTCGAGAAGCAATCGAATTAAAAAAAGCATCCAAGAGAAAATGAAAAAGAACAAAAAGAATGCACATAGAAGTGAAACTCGTGTTATCGCGTGTGGAAAATAATCGATTCATTCATGTGTACAGCCTATAGAGACAGTGTCCCTTAAAATAGTACAATTTTCTTTAGTATACATCTATTAATATATTTCTAGATATTCTATTTATCGCTCTTGACTAAATAAAACTAAATAATCTGTCGAATCAGAGATCTGTCAGCGAATTGAATTTTTACGTCAAAAGGAGTTGTAACTGAATCGGTCGATGTTTGAAACGAACGTACAATTGATTTAATATATGGGCCCTAGTCACCTTTGTGCATTATACAGGCCCAGTAAACTTAGAATAGAACAAGGAGAAATAGAGCGAACCGTACGAACGCATTCCTTAAGTTTCATTCGCCGTGACCAACTCGTATGTGTGGTAAAGTTGAAACTCGAATATCCATCAAAGCATCCACCCACAATTTCATTCTTACATAGTATTTGAGTTTTTCTATTTAAAAGAATATTGTACTAATTCTTATAGGATTAAATTCCGGCTATCGAACTCGAGACGTTTATAGTATGATTTCATACATCCGCAGTCTGTCTTTGATAAAGTACAATGGATACAAGGCTGACTTTACGCGTGCCCACGTGGGCACGTTGTTTGACCACTTGCATTTCTTACGTGTGACACATCGAAGACTCATGCACAGGAGACCCAATCTCTAACAACCATACGTTACAAATGGAAAAAATCAATAGAAAGTTTATCAATAAAATAACGATATACTTGGTTATCAAAATGATCCTTCTTTTGTTTTCAATTGATTTTTGATTTGATTTGAGAAAGGAAGCAAGTATATTAGAAAATGGAGGAAGATCTCTTAGATTCTCGCCCACGTTTTCACCAACGTTGTTTGCGATTCTTTCTTTATCTGAAGAGGGAAGGTCTTCGTCGTTGTCTCTGGGTGTGACTCGAATTCTTAGGCTTCTCTCCTTTCCTTTCTCTATCTCCACCTTTCTAGACTGCATAGCGTACAACACTCTTCGCATCTTGTTTCTTTAAGTATACTTCTCATTTATAGTTTAACCGCAACGTTATTTACAATTTCATGGAAAAAAAAGGAAAAATGTATATTTTTTGTTTCCATCAATTTTTCTTATTTCTAATTATAATATTTAGAATAAAATCCTAGATGCACAAATGTCAAAAAATCAAGAATAATAATATATTTGCAAGAAATAGAAAGATCATGAAAGTTAAGTTTTATTGTGAATTTTCCGAAGTAACCTAATCGAATCATTTGACGTTACGTTGCTATTACGTATCGCTATTTCAGTTTAGGAACACGTTTGTCGCTTAACGCACTGCATTTGCAAGCATTTAGAGAGTGTCTCCTCGTTCATAAATTTATGAATTTCCTATCAACTTTCACTTTATGGATATTTCATTCCGTCCAAATAATTGCTTACCTTTTGCCTATCCTTTATTAAATACAAACTTATTCGAAAGCGATGAGAGATTTCTATTATTAATCAATACATTTAATCTCGTAATATTAATACACGTAAACTTTGAACTTTCCGATTATTTCAATACAACCACAAAATACTCCTCTATCGTAAACTTTATTTTTATACATATAGACAAAGAAGAATTTTTATTTTATTATAGTTATAATTTTTAGTTAAAGTGAAAGAGAAGAATTAAAAAGAAAGTAATTCAAATTCAATGATAATTTATGAAGTAACAAGATATGGATGTAATTGCATCGAGTTATTTTAAACTGTAAATAAAGCTATTGAATTTATTAACAGGATAAATGAAAGAATGAACACAAAATTTGTGTTTAAAGTTTTTTATAAAAAAAACATCATCAGATCCAGTATTTAATATCAATAAAATTCTTCTTTTGTCCTTTCTCCGTTCTAAAATTATCCTTCCAGTCATGATGGTGTTTAAACGGTCGCTTAAAATGTGTTCCAAGAAGGCAAAAGGTGGTTGTGTTGTATCAGCAAGTTGTTCACAAAATCTAAGATCCTTCATTAGAAAAACACGAGAGCCGGTCGTCTTCTTTTCTTTCATTATTTCCCCAAAACCGGATTTTCAGGTCTTCTTTTCTTTCATTATTTCCCCAAAACCGGATTTTCAGGCTACGTTGTAGTACGTATCTATCTATCGTCTACCATCGATTATCCATATCTTTTTGTTTTTTTTTTCTAAAGGATTATACACATAGGAATTGTACTTAATCTTTCATCTAACTCGAAAGATTTGA